GCATATAATGGACTGTCTCACCGTTATTCCGTGCCCACAACAAGTACTGTACTTGACATGGAGAGTATATTGTGGAGATTTCCCCGCAAGACATCTCTTATCTGAGAACGTGTCTCGGCCATCTGGGAATCACAGGCTTTCTCGTCAGACCGGGTATCTTATCAAACTATGGCATGTGTTAAAAAGAGCAAAAAAAGCTTTTCAATGATGAGAGTATAATATTATCGCACTTCAAATGAAAATCTTCTAAAACGGCTGCTTCAAACACAAGGCAAAAAAAAATTCGGACAGAACTTAACACGTTGACGACCGCTTGACACACATGGTATGTCAAGCAATGACTACCGTGTGGGACCGCTTGACACACATGGTGTGTCAAGACCCGTTTCACGTTGAAACTAACGATCACCTTGGGGTAAAATCATTTAAGGGGTTTTCTTAGGCGCTGAATCTGAAAATGATATTCAATTTTTACAGTGACCTCTTGTAACGATACGGTAGGTGTACTGTGGGCAATATTATGGGCCGCTTTGACCAAAAATGGTTTACTGATGATATGAGCGTACCTAGTTGTGTCCACATAACGTCTTTTTACTTCAAAACAAGCATTGGGAGGTACTGTAAGCCTACGGTAGGTAAAGATATAAAAATTAGGAGCCTTCTACCGAATCGCTCACTATAGTGAATTTTCGACCTATTGTAGATGCTTTTGACAGCTGGAGTAGAAAAATCAATTTCTTTTTTTTGTTGAAATAACAACAAAATCTGGCACTGAGCAGTAGCAGCATTTGGATCAACCGACTGGTGCATGGTGCGTCGATTTTTGGAAATATATTTTTATTTATTTTCAAACTTCTTAATTCCAAAGATCTACATAGCCGAGGACAATGTTGTGGAAAACTATACAACGTTATTACAGATAATGCCACCTATACAATAGACAATAGACTGAAACCCGCACATAACCAAATAGCCAGAAGAGGTAGATTTAGCTATGTAAGAACGTACACTCAACATTTCTTATGCTTATTTTGAAAGCATTGCAAGCAAAAAAAATTTTTGCATTTGCTGCACCTAGTATTGACTCTCTTGGATCTTCTCGTCGCGATGGCGCTTCCATAGCTCCGTGCAAAGTCCTTGTAACATTTTACACATCGTCGCCTCGCACTCCGTCTTGGTCCTGTGATTTCCTCTAACTTATGCTTGTTTGTGGGTGTTTCAGGCTGTGCGTTCAGCCAGGAGCGAATCAAAGATTTTCTGAAATCAATCAATCGCGCTTTTCCACATGTCATGTTGTATATGTGCCAAGCGTTGATTACTGCTTCTCGTCAATGATATGGAAGAAAAGTCTGATACACCACTTGGAGGTTTTTCTAATGAATGGATAATAGGCTGCCATTTGATCGGAAATATCGATGAAAGATTTTCTAAAATTATAATCTGAGATGACAAGCGGCTTCCCTGAATCGTTTTCCCTACTGTCGTGGACTGTGGACAACATCAGCACATCGCGCTTATCTTTTCACTTCAACACCAAAATCCCGCTTTGATTCTGCCGCGCGATGTACTCCCCTCGTCTCAGTTTCGTCTCAATTACATCTCTGGGCAGCCCTCGTCTATTCATCTTGACAGTGCCGACAAGGTTTGTATCTCTCGAAAGTAATTTTTTTGCCAGAGGTATGCTTGCATACCAGTTGTCAGTATACAAGGTTCTGCCGCAGTCCAAAAGCCCGTCCATGAGCTTCATAGCAACATCCTCGCCTACACTCCCTTCTCTTGGATGCGGCTGTTTTCCAGCGTAGATGCTCATTTTATATGTGTATCCTCCTCTGGTGCATAACTTGAAAATTTTGATTCCATATCTGTGTCTTTTTTGGGGAGGTACTGTCGGAACGATTCGTCCTCTGAATGGTACCAAAGATTCATCTATGCAAACGTCTTTGCCTGGTTCATATATGCCTTTAAAACGCAAATTCATCTCGTTGAGAAATCTCTCCACTTTGTACAGTCAATTACTTTTATCGGCTGTTGCATTATCCGCGAGATGAATATTTTCTAGAAGGGATTCGAATCTAGCTCTCGTAATAACTTTTGCGCCAATAGGATTACCACCAAAAACCAGATCTGTCGACCAATAATCGCGCAGTGAGGGCAGCTTGACGATCCCCATTTGCATTGTCAAGGCAAAAACCTCTTCAATTCAGTCTCTGATGTTTCAGTCCAAGAACGGTCCTTCTGTTTGCCATACCGATTTGTTTCTTCGCAGATATAGCTCAGCAAATCATCGTCGACAAAAAGACTATAAAAGTCAATTGGCGCTCTGTGCAATTCTCCACGATGTCTGGATAAACTCCGAAGAAAGCATTGAAAGTGTGTCTATTTCTGAGCCGAATATCCCTCGTCCACATATCACCTGCGACTTCGTCGATCGTCTCGTCTTCTTCGGTCTCACCTTCGTCTGTCTCGTTATCAAATATTTCATCCACCTCTTCGGATCCAACAAGCGACCTGCTCTCTTCTTCGTCACTATCTCCCATCAGCAGTTCAAAACTATACTCTTCAACACCGCCCATCGCAATTAAGTTCAGTTATGTGTGCCAAAGCTCAGGTAGCAAACCACTGGCATATACTGGCTAATAGGGAACTTTTTTCTGATTATCACGTAAGCCATCTTATCGATTGGATTGGATCACCATAAATTTTACGCCAAAATAAAATGTTGCTGGATGAGAATCTATGGGAACTAAAACCACTTTCAAAATATTATATTTTGAGGAACGGTACTATTCTATTGCAAGAAAAATCAAAAAATTTGGGAAGTTTGCGCATACTGCAAATCTACCTTGGGCAATGCCAGAAATTTGCCTAGCAAGCTATAATGGCATCGTAATTGTTTATTCAATGCAAGGATAGTCTTTCAACTTTTTTCAGATAGTTGGAGAATTTACGACCAACAATCAGGGTCAAATCAGTTTGTTACAGTACCCCTACCGTAACACAACAGTATAGCACTATGGCAGTCTGCGACTGCCATATTCGGAATCAGCGTATCCAATAACCTAAGAATAGCGACGATTACCTGAAAAATTGACCTCCAGTCGTCTTGGTCTCAAGTGGCAGACACTCGCAATTACGCGCGGTCGTCAATGTGTTAAGCAGCAACCTGATATATCAGCTATTGAAGCATCACTATGCCTTTCATTCTTGTTTGCATAACTAAGGGGTCATGGTTCAGCGCTATGGCTGGCGTCTCAGTGGGACAGCAACTATGACTGAATGGTGGAGTTTGTCAAGCTCGCAGCAATGGCCTATTTCGTAGTTCTTTGCTTTCATCTGATTAAACACACTTGCTTCCTATTTTTGATAAAATCATAACCCTAATCTTATAATATCAAACTGCACTTTACTAGCAGTAAAGCAATGCACATTGAACTGCAGTGAAAATTACCGGCAAAATCCGATGTAAGAGGCACAGTATCCGATCTTATCATTCTCGATGTAAACAAAAAATAAGTAGTGCCTTGCTTCTTTCAAATGATCGTTGTTTGCACAGCTTCAATGAACATGCAATGACCTCGCGAACAAATCTTCTTATGATTAAGATGATGGATAACTAATGACACTAGAGCATTCCTAATGCAAAGGAGAAATCGTTACAGCCTTTGAACTCTCCTCAAACACCGTCCAGTTCGCAATACTACTCTATGTCAATGTGCTTACTTCCATATTTTTTTTTCTCAAAGGTGCGTTACAAACTCAAGCACTTTTTCGAAAAACAACATCCTGGTATAAGACCATTTTTCATAAATTTGCCAAAATTTAGTGCACCTTTCACTAATGATCTACATTTCCGTAAAATGAAGTAACTCATAACTAAGATATTGAAAGAGGCAAGGAGTCCTCGTGATTATCTTATTTCTTTGTTGACTGACCTTATTTTCAGCGATTTACGAGGTCTACCGCCGGTCAAAGTGTGATTATCGTTAGCCGGATGTCTCAATCTATGTCTTCACTGTTCAATTCTCGGTTTTATCTTTAGCAAGCAACTTTCGCGAGACGTAAGCAAATTCTATAAACTCCATTATGAGGTCCGGATTCTATGGCAACTATTAGCTCGCAATAAGTTTCGTTTAAATTGAAGGGGAAAAACCCCCCACATCTTTTCAAGTTTCCACGTTCTCAGAATTTGTATTGTGGTAGCTCGAAAATAAGTCACACATAAAAAGTGCAGTTTCTGAAGTTTTCTAAAATTTTTGAACTTGAAGAATTTGTTGTCTTGCGTTATTGAAGAGCTCAACTTTTCGGACCGCCTTTATTTTCGCACTGATGCTTCCGGTAATCCATAAAATTTCTAAGAAAATGAAGGAGAGGAAAGTAGTCTGAGAACAAAGAAATATGGAGGTTGAAGTGCTGTTAGTGAGTGTCTTTTTATCGAATGTAACTTACGCCCCTAAAAATAATCCTGATGGATAGCGTTTGATCTTTTTCTCATATATGCCTGCCAAATATGAGACTTCCATCCCAGTTTCTAAAATTTTCAAGAAGAGTACAAATAAAGTGTAAAGAACTTATGTTACGACGTAACAGAAAAGAACAATGTTATCAGCAAAAGTGTAGAAAAAAGCAACACAGCTTCGGCGGTCTGAAAACTAACTGTCACTCACTCCAAAGAGGATGTAGTGATCGATATGATAGAGAAACCTTAGACTTCTTGCTGTCGCTTTTCAGTAATGATGATGCTCTGATTAATTGCTTTGCGTATAATCACTATCTGTGTGGTCAAGTTGGAGCCATATAGTACGCTCCTTCCATATCAAGACTAATCAAGCTTGTTTTACAACCTGATAACGACCTCACTGCGAGCAACTGAAACTCCAACCACAGTTCGAGACGTCAGCTTAACAGCTCAAAGCTACCTTCTTTATAAGCCTCTGATAATATCAATATATCATTCTTTACTCAATCAATTAGACTGGTACTTATGGTGTTTATTATTCCAGATGCTTTGGGCCCTTCTACTCATTCTTGTTCTCGGAGCAGATGCAGCGAAGTCAAAATGCGTAGACGGAAAGGACAACGTTATTAGGATCCACGACACAACAAACGGTAATTCTTTGTAACTAGATTCTAAATTAAAAATAAAATTTGCGGTTTTGACTATACAAGTTCATTGAAACCTCAGATAAAAGAGTGCCATTAACCTGCCTTCATTGCCAGTTGATCCGGTTTCTGCATGGAAATACCTTCGATATTTTCTACTTATTTTTTATTATATGATTTAAAAATTGCAAATAAGATTTGCTGCTGTTCTATAACCTGATTATTTTAAACATTCACTCCAGGGACATTGTGAACGTTTATGGTGTTTTGAATTTTGAAGGTGATTTCATAGCTTCTGACTTTATAAGGAAATTTTTTTATACGCTCTGGCAGGAAAGCTTGTAAGAAAAGTATTTGTGTATGCTATTACTTCAGCCAATAATCAAGATCTTTGAAAATTCTTTATTGGTTAACATTTCGGCGATTTCGTCTTCGTCAGGACCTGGGAGTTCGAGTCAAACCAAGAAAGAATTCTAGAAAATCTTGACTATTGGCTGAGGTAATAGCATACACATATATAACATGCCAAGATTGAAAGAGCGACAGCCGAACGTGGAAAGTTCTTCAAGATTCAAGGAAAGTATTTTTTAAAAATCGGCTTTGAAAATTACTCTTGGTTGCAAGTTCCTCTTAATGTTATCCGAATACTTTCTACACTTTCCAGAAGATTAGCAATTACATGTAATTGTGGACTTCCATGTCAATAAGTTCAATGTTTATTCGAACTTCTACAGGCTTTCTCTAATATTAGATGTCAAACGTTATAGGAAAAGGAAAAATTTTGGTAAAGGACGTTGAGATCGGCACCTATGACAAAAACAAGAAACCTATCTGCGCAGATGGAAAGCCCCAATTCACCTTCCCAGGACATTTCAAATTGCTGAAAGGTAGGGTAGCCTTAGTATTCATAAGATTATGTTCTATGCGGAAATTGTAGGCACTGTCGAAGTGGTTGAACCAGTGAAGGATGGGAAAGATCCTATTCAGCTATCTGTCAGCCTTGAGAAGAACTCATTCTTAGTGGGTGTAGTGTGCGAGGAAGGAAAGAGTAAAAACCAATTTGTTCCCAATGAGATGTGGTAAGTCGTAGAAGGAAATTTTTCGGCTAATTTGACACTATAAGGTGCAGAATTTTTATATAAGCAGAGCCGAAAACCACTATCCCTGCGATTTTTATAATCGAAATCAGATTATCTTATTACAGCACATTCGACCTATGCAAGATCTCTTCACTCTGCAATGTGCTTGCAACGCAGACGCCTGATCCTGTGGATATTACAAAATTCATTGACAAAGAATTCATTGATATGGGGCCAATGCCTATTCCTCAATTATCTGTGGGTATTTCGCATCTCTTATGATATCTTGGAATAATAATTTCTTTGGAAAAATATCGTCAAGATTCTGGAATGTGTCAAAAACCTTTTTGCACATGTGCGCTCGGAGGAAAGAAGCTACCAGCATTTATATTCTATGTTTGAGTACTTCCCGATTCATTTGAGCTTTTGGGACATTGGACCGCGTTGGTGTCCGTAGGGGAATTGGCGAAAATGAGAAATAAAAAAGATGGACAGGAAATAAAAATAAAGAGAAAACATGAGACGGTTTTATCAGGCACTACAATCTTGCTTTTTAAGAATTTGTCAGGAGAAGTACTAGTCTCCAGTTCCAGAGCAGAATTTGGAATTAGCAATAAACACCCTGATAATGATGCAATTTTAGAAATCAGGAATGAGTAGTAGCTGAAAACCTTTGAACTTTCGTTTTTGCAGTCTTTCACCGGCTATTTGCCTGAGCTAATTCAGGAAGCTTTATAACTTGTTTTCAGGGAGAATGGCAGCTTTCGGTCAAACTTATGCAGGGTAAAAAGGTTCTTGGAGGAATTCGAGTTGGAAAGGGTAGCGAATGGCTCAACATCGAGGTGAGTAGAACGAACGTAATCACTGCAAAGCGTGTGTTAGACATGGAGAAATTTTACTGGTTTTGTCCTTGATCATCGCCAAACAATTTACCTTATGAGTAAAGATGAGCACATGCTATGCCAATTACATCGTTGCAGACCGTCGAAGGAGAAGGCGAAATCAAATACGAAACCAGCGAGCCACAACCTCATGGAGAATTGTAGACTTCACAGAAATATTTGTTGTCAGTCTTTCGTTAAAATTTAGGGAACCATTGCTTTAATTATGTCTTAACCATGACTGGCCGGGTTGTCTGTATGTGATCCTATGGCCTTTTAATAATTCTAAGTTCAGGATTTCTTTCTTGTTTCTGTTATTGGATTGGTTGTTTCTGTACAGTAAACAAATATCTATTTTCTTTCCATAAAAAGCAAGCCGCGCATATCATGCAGCGAATGAGATTTAAATGGTGCAAAAGTGTACCATAAAACAAACATCTGACTGGTGTGCATGGCTGACATGACTCAAGGAAACTTAAACATAGCTGGCATAGGATGTGTCATACCTGATAGCATTCCGTAATGAAAAGAAACATACTTCTCAAAAATTTCGTTCTCTCAACAATTTGGGAGACGCGCCATACTTTCTGCTTGAAATCTCATTCACCTGATCCACTTCGCTAATGTCAAATTAGCGAACTGACGAATAGCAAAGCGGATTTGCACTTGATACTCTTCATCCCCTTCCCGATTGGTCAGTTCACTGATTTGACCAATAGCGAAGTGAGTGAAGTGGATTGGATCCATGGGATAAAGTGGAACAAGTAAGGCGCGTACCTAATACATAGAGGTATGAGCTTTTGAGATCTATCAACTTCACTCCACTTTTAATCAGTGTCTGCTAGGGGCAAGCGGTGAAAATTTCTCATTAAAATTGTTGTACATAATCGACTATAATACAAGAATAAACGCCAAACATCAGCTCAATAAATTCAAAAAAAAATTTATTCAAAATCAGTTTAACAGTAGCTTGTAGCCGAGCAACAGCATATTTTTGTATCAGAACTTTCCAATCATATTCATAAACAGTTTGAACTTTACGAGTAACTTCTTGCATGAATTCGAGAAGCAACTTTTGATACAATCCCACTGTGTGCGAAAGGTACTGAGTGCTCAAAAGTGATTACACTACAGAGATTTGAAATTTGGACCAGTTAAAAGTGATTACACTACGGAAATTCAAAATTTGAATTTCTATGACCTGTTCTTTATAACTTTTTTTCTGAAGTCAAAAAAGGGGAATCCTCGTAGCATAATCCAGAGAGCCACTTTCAATTTTGAAACACATAGCTGGAATATCTGAATGTTCTGATTTGCAAGTAAAGGTAAGACAGTGACTGCTGTATTTTTGGATAATTCAAACAACTCACTGTTTAATCTATGCCTGCAAATTTAAATTTCTGCAATTTTACGAGCATGGCGAACAAACCATCGAAAGAAAATTTTTTTCCCTGGCTCCTTTGCAATTTCTCTTTTGGGTTCTAGATGTATTACATCCAAAGCGGGCTTTTGTTCTGCAGTCAGAATTTTTAGCGCTTCATTGCGGGCGGTTGTCTGTGTCAAGTCGAGAACAGTTACCCTACATCGTCTGGACTGATAATATGTGTACAGTGACTGGTACTTCTATACAAGGTAGCAACAATGTGATAGCATTCTTAAGCGTGGTTTACGGCTCAAAATACAAAATAAGTTTACTGATAGACGTAACGAAAAATCGTCATCTTTATGCAACTTACAATCTTATTACACTACTTATAATGGACTTCGGGCAAGCCGTTCAGGTGCTTTACGGATTTTTTTTTCAGGTTCTCGCGATTCCTATGAAGGCATGGACACCAAAACCTCAATTAGAGCTTTGATTAGTACCATATTGGAACAAGCTGTAAACGATGAACGCTGAGTAACCATGCAGAAGTCGTCAGCAGTGAAACATTCAAACTAGCACGAAAGCAGTGGTTAATCTCGCTAAAAGTCACATGTTCCTGAACTTCATTGTGCTGTCATACCCAAAAGATCCATGGATGGAGATGGAACTGCAAGCTGATATGAGATGCGAACCATGTTAGTGTTATAATAATCTAACATTGAAAAAATGGATACATTTCACGCAAACTCCATTTGCATTGTTTCTTCCAGATCGCAGAGGCTGCAAAGCTTGTGCACTGGACAAGCATGTAATTCCAAGAATGTGCTGTACTCGCAACAAAATTTATGCTCAACATTGCCCTTTGTGGTATGTGCTTCTATCTGTTTTATGTGCAGTATTACACTGAACAATGCTCATGAAAATATTTGCGCTTAGTAAACATAACCACCTCAGATAAGAAGACTAGTAGAAAAGTAGTGCTTTACTAGATTAAATGACTTTTTCCTCATTTTTTCAGATTCCTACTCTCCAAATTTCTGTCAACTCTTTCCTTCTCCACACTGCTTTTTCTTTCCTCATTACCAAGATATCTAAAGATATTTTTCTTGGCGAAAACCTTAGAGTTTAGAATGAGAGTACTGCTATTGCTAGTGGTGTGCATCGGCACTTATGCTGCTGACGAACTTCCAACCACAACCGATTTGAGCCAGGGAGCGAAGACTAAAATTGAAGTTTCCGAGCTTCGTTTTCGACCAGATGACATGTTCAAACATCTGGTAGAAAAAATAGAGGTATGTACGCGGCGAAGCATCAGGCATAGGCAGAGATTTGAAATAATAAGTGTTTAGGAATACTTTGCATATCTTTGCAAAAGATGCGAGGAGTTCATAAAGAAGATTGATGAAGAAATTGAAAGTGAAAAGGTAAAAAAGGTGAGATAGGTTTTTTTTAGGTTTTGCATATAAGTAAGGGAAAATCGCAAATAAAAAATGCAAGAAAGATATAAAACATCGCTTCAGTTTGTTTTGCAAAAGGAGGACGCTTTCATAAATGACGAAAAATGTTCTCTAGTTGAATTAAAAGTCAGACTTCACTAACCTTCTTTGAACTTTGCCCTTCCAAAAGCTTCCAGTATACTTAATTATGAACTTATGCAGAGAACTTGTTTTCATCCGTAAGCAACTAAATTACTCTTCTAGGAACTCTTCCTGGACATTCGTAGATCTAAAACACATTCAGTTCATACTCCATTACAAGAAATTAGCCAGTTTTCTACGAATCATACCAAAATCCAAGAAGAAACCAAATTGCTGTATTATTTTTGATTTTGCTCAGTTTTGCTACAGGTGAACTCATGTGTGTTTGTGAATGCAAAAATTGCCTCAAGTACCAGCATATTTGTCATTTTTATTAGGGTTTCGCCACAATATGTGTCATAGATCTTAGAAAGTGCAAACGCTGCAATAATTTGTGTAACCCCTGACATTCTAAGATTTACCCGCAAAGAGGGCATCAATGAAGAGCCCGCACACCGACTCTGATCGTCACCCACTTGATCTCAATATTTAGCCAGCCCAATGGTCAGCGATTGTTGCGCATCTCGTTGATCATATTCGTTGCGTGAGCCATTCACGGTAATCTGAAATCTGGAAATAACTTCTTTAATGAACGATTCTACTGTAAACGCTGCCTATAGTAAGGGGTCAGGCGAAACAAAAAAATCTCATCTTTCGAGAAAATGTTAACAGAAGGCCCTTCTGCCTCTCTGTGGTCTTGGTCTTAATCTGCAGTGAACGCTCACGTCTGGCGTAGATTGATGACTATATCATGAGAGAGTTTGCGAATCACAAAGCAACCTTTTTTTTCAGAATATTTAATCAGTGCTACGACTATCATAGCAACAAACAAAGCAGTAGATTGCTTCGTATGAGAGCTACAAGCTTGATAGTTCGAAGAGGAGATCGTCATGCCATCATATGTATCGTTGAAACCAAATTGGGCTTTATCAACTTGTAATGAACTTCATGGCTTAGGTCAACAATTAGTCAGGTTGCAGTCACTTGCTTCTGGGTTTCATACTTATTGTTGTTATTGTCAAAACACTGAGTCATCAGATAACAGAGATGCATTCCTCCATTTGCCAATTATTAGCGATCTTCTGCACTTGAGAACAATGACTCTACTCAAATAACTAGTATTTTACCTAACCTATCATGAGCAATCGTTTCGAGTTGTTGAACGGTCCCTCGACAGACACCTGAAAAATATCAAATATGCTTTGAGAATTCCAATACAAGACACGTGAGTAGAACGCATTGTCATGTTCTACAGCATCTCTCGTTCAATATTTCCTTACTAAACGCGCACAGTTCCATAACAACTCGAAATGTACTTTTATAGCCAGCTACCTTCGGAGCAAATTTTATGCTTTCAACTTATTGTAGTTTCATGCCCTGATGATTCAAGAAAAAGAAGGTGTGTGGTAGCCAACCTCTTCTCCCCTTTATAAGTTTCATGAGGCTAATTTGAAGTTCCTCTATTTCGAGATAATTCCAATTTTTCAGAAGGAAAGGCAGGCTTGTCGCATAATTCAAGCACTTCTGAAATTTTTTCAATCTTTAACGGGAGGGGAGAGGAGGAGGGGGAGGGTGGAAGGGGGCACTGTTACTTACATATAACGACTATATCATATTGGCGTTAGGCATTTTTTGAGTTCTACCAAATATCTCCTGATTAAAAATGATATCCCATGATGTGCTTACTGTTTGATTGTTAATAACTCTCTTGTTATGAAGTCGAGAAGCATTAGCTTCATTTTGTAGAGCTGGCTTCACTTAGATTTACAGTATCAAGCGAGTTACCGTCCTCCCTTCGTTACTGTAGGATTACAGTAAGAATTTTGAGGAGGATTTTGCTTCATTAAGGATCATATTTTAGGTCTAAAAAACTAAAGAAGCTGAAAACTTCTACGCTAGGTCAAATGAAATCGCTGATTCCAAATATGAAACTCGCATCTTCACCGTAACGCTTTTTTCATTAGTTTATGCAAGGTTTATTACAATAACCGATTTCCGGTATCGTTAAAAAATCGATTACGCCGTTTAAAAAGCTCTGATTGTGAGATCCCACAGAAAGTTATGTAATGAAACCAGCATGCATTGAAACGTTGTTATACACTTTTCCAATTTTTTTTCAACATTTCAAACGGCCTATATCGCAGTAGCGCCATATGTTGCGGGTTTCTACAGTAATCCTACAGTAATGAAGAGGGATTGGTAATTCGCTTTATACTGCAAATCTAAGTTGACGCCACCTTTACAAAACGGAGCTTAAAGCTTCTCGAAAGACTTTCACTGCAAGAGAGTTATTGACAATTAAGCAGTAAGTACATATTGTTGGGACAGCCTGTATAATATGAAGCGATGTTTCAGGATGCAGTGAATCTTTGCAAGATGGCGATCAAGCGTGAACCCTGGACAGGGATGTGCGTAACGCTTATGACAGACATCCTGGAAGCTGTATACAAGCAACTACGACACTTTGAGCCCAAGCCCGAACTATGCGCCCATCTGCGACTTTGCGACTCTTGCGATGTCAATGTTACCAGGTATATGTATAAGATCTGAAATGGAAACAAGAAAGGAGTAGTATTGGATTTGTATGCGAAGTAAATAATCCAAATTTGGTTGCAGATCAGCACTGAATATAGTCGCTAGATCTCCTGAAGCTAATCCAGCTTTTCTGATCAGCAAACTTTCGGAGCTGCATTCTACCATGACTCACTTCGCTACCACAAATGTGCACAAGGATGAGATCATTGACTTCTGATCAACCATTGTGTGCATATTATGATTCTTCAACGAATGAAGAAGATTGTTTGTTACCCTCCGCAGTAAAAATTTTGTTGCTCCGGGAAAACATTGACTTATGCGCCATCAACCCTACCAAAATTTATTTGCTGATTATGAAGATAAGCCTTGAGTAAGTGATACTGCTGATACTGCTGATACTTCGTGGATCGTGTCAACCGAATGCTTAGATATGTGGTAAGCACTAAGGATAATAATTGTTGAAGACTGTCTGCGAACATATGAGAAAAGCCAGAAATCGTTAAGAAAATATGGAGCAAAGAGAGAATTTATTCCTGAGTTTGGTATGGTTTCTCTGGTGAACACCTTTCTTTAAATGAGTTTGTTATCCCCGTCTGATTAATACAGAGTGTCCCAAAAAAATGTATCGAACGTTTGATCGTTAATATCTCTCTTCCCAAGAAGTCTTTTGCCTTGCTTCAGGTACCGTTTTGTAGAGCTGGCTTCAACTTAGATTTGCATTACAGAACGAATCACCCATCCCCCTTCATTACTGTAGGATTACGGTAGAAACTTGAAACATATGGTGTCAATGTGGGAAAAGCTGCCGTTTCAAAATTTTTCAAAAAATTGTGAAAACTTGTGTAACAGGGTTTTTATGGACGCTGAGTACAATACTCAACTATTCACAAGATTACGAAGCTTTCTAAACGGTGTAACCGCACTTAGGAACATTGAAAAAATGGCCGCTACCTCTTACCTGGCATAACTCTTCAATGAAGCATCATAATAAGTTGGGAACTTTACAGTTAGAATCAGCAACTCTAATTAGCCTAATGCAGAAGCTTTCAGGCTGTTTTGTTCCCTTTCTGAGGCAAAATATGGCCTTTTATTGCTTAAAACCCTCTTTGAAGTTTCTACCGTAATCCTACAGTAATAAAGAGAAATGAGTGATTCGTTCTATAACGCGAATCTAAGTTAAAGCCAGCTCTACAAATTGGTACCTGAAGCAAGAGAAAAGACTTCTTTAGAAGAGAGATATTAACGATCAAACGTTCGATACATTTTTTGGGACACCCTATACAGTTTGAAGCTCAGCATCACACTTCTCCCACGAAAGATGGACTGGTCTTTTTTGTTGAAGTTCATTTCAAAAATATTAGGTTGTGTAATAAGTTCCACATTTTTTGTTTTAGTTTTTTCTCAATATTAACTTTATTTGAAATAACGTAAGTATGCATTTCAAAAGCTCTAAGTTTGCCCTATAGATTCATATGCGTGTCCGTAACTTAGCAAAAATCGAAAAAGATTTTTTAGCATTGAAACAAATAATCCAGAGAGGCGAAAAATCCATTTTCGACATCTTTTTTCTCTCCAAATTCTCCCGTTTTTCATTAGTAAAATTTTTCGACAAGCTTGACTACAAAAAAAACAACCTATTAGACTCTTATGTTTGTAATGTCACTGTTTGTGCTTACTCCCTTCCTTCTACCGACTTTTGATGTCATTTTTTCGAAACTCGGCGAAGCAAGCTTTGTCGCGGCGATGTTCGTTGTCTAGTACCTAAGCTGTGTGACCCCCGATTCGATGATTTTGTGGTCATAAACCATCCAATCTCTCCTCTGTGGACTATGCGTCTACCGTAATCTCTCAAGACTGCCTTTAGATGCGCAATTTCACACGTTAAAAAATACTTTTTCAAAATTCACAAGAGTAACTCAAAACTTTTTGATACTTCTGAAGCGCTGCAGAAGCTAAAGCATTCGTTCCTTACGCACAGCAGGTTTTTCGAGCTGTTTCGTGCTCGCTCCGACTCACTTAGAGGGCGACGTGATGTAGTTCTCGAAAATGAACTCTTCCCCTCTTTGGTTTTCCAAATTCAATGCTGGATAATTTTTCCAAGTATTCTGATGTAGGAAGATGAAATAAATATTCTGGCAGAGCAGGCTTAAAGCTTTTGAATGCATATAGACATTTTGCGAAACACCGTGAAAAATATTGAGAAAAAGTTAAAAAAAAACTTATGGGCCAGAACTTATCACACGACCTAGGTAGATAGATTGTGGTAGATATGGAAAATCAGATTGCAGCCGCTCCAAACTTGTTCATCTTAAGACATTGCGATCTGGAACATTGGATGGAATAAGATTTGTTATTTCATACAGCAGAATGAAACAGAAGACATGCTATACTAAAAGAACTAACCTAACTTATACCCTCAGTCGGTCTTATATTTACCTCTACCTCCCTCATTAATAGAACTAACCTAACTTTATCCTCAATCAATGTCATATTTATCCACTCCCCCCCCCCCCCTCCACATCTTCCTCTCCACTATCCGTATTCATCCGAGTTCTATTTGAAATAGTCGTAGACTCTGCAAGGAACTATAACGAAAATTGGTTGCGATTAGTCTTGCAAAAATCTCTTTTGTTCACCGTTGCAGCGGCTGGAAATCTCTATAAGTCAAAATAAGAACTTTTCGATTGTTTGTCTTACAAAAGCTCTTATATAACTGCACAAATCCGTAGGTCATATTTCCACAAAGGTGACCCTCACATCACTATGAGTAGAAAAGGATTTGCAAGGTACTCAGTCATTTTTCTCTTTTAATGAAAGAATATGAGATCACCGGACTTTTCTTGAGTGATTCATCTTGTTGGGTTCGCTGGATTTACCGACCAGATCGTGGAGATAAAATTTCTCTGAATTTTAGAATTTTTTTACGTGATCCAAGCCTGTTTGTAGATCATTTTTCTCGTCACTTCAGTGGTAGCCAGCTGTTTTTAGACAACAGTGTATTAGGGAAAGGATGGAGATATTCCACAACCGTTTGAAAAGTCACTAAATTGGCACCATCAATTTTGACATCAAGTCTTATTTCTTCGCTCGTATACATCAAATACTAAGCCATAACAAACTTAGCAGAGGAAGGAAGCAGAATTTTTTCGCTAATCTGATATCTGAACTTTTCTACCCATACTCTTACCTTCACAAATTCGCAAATATGAATAAAAGCTGGTGGAAATCAGCACTTCTAGTTAAAAGAAATCTAGGGTGATGACGCTAGTCAAGCAGTTTCACTTACTAAAACTGCCAAAAAAATCGTATGCATTCAAAAGCTACACATCTTAGCGCAGTTGTGAGAGATTTCCAGTATTCCACCGTTAGTTCTTCACTCTTCATGTTCGGATGCATATTCAATGGAGACATCAAAATAAAACTTTTTGCTTTACTTTTGCCTACGCATAAATTTTATATAAAACCGGGAATTTTATGACACCTAACCAGAGCCAAGGAAACAGCAGCTATTATGGGACATGATTTACGAGTCTGAAACCAGGCATAAGCAGCCGCCAAAAGCATCTCATAGTCATTAAAATCTGGAAAAAGGCCGTGAATGATCCTCTCAGCGTTGTGAATGAAGAGGCACTAGGCAATCATCGTCGGTAGGCTTAATTAATGTCCTTATCTTATGGATTTTTGAGCGACGCAAATTATGAACATCCAAAGTTTCCTCTTCAATTCGCTTTCGCTTGTGGTGCTTCATACTGCTGAAGCGAATTGCTAGGTAGGACCAAAAAAATTTCCTTCATTTTTGCTCTCATAGAAACTCTGCAAACAAATTCTTGCAAGAATACTTTATACACAGAAAGTATTTCGACGACGAAATTAAGCCAATTTTCCAGGTAATTTTTTGCATTTGAAATATTTTCAAAATGTTTCTAACAAGGGAAGGGTATTTGGTCGAAGTGGCATTTTTACATGAAAAGTTTATTCTACACGGCTGTCATCAGTTTTGGAACTATAAAAGTTTTCAAACTGCACGACACACTTCTCATTTTCGTTTGCTAGGTTGCGAAATTTATTGATCAAATTAAAAGCGTCGTTCCACTGCATAAAATAGCAGCAATTGTGATTTTAGAAAGTTTTTTTTTGCGAGGGAATGACTTTGCTTGGCAAATTTACTTTCATGATAAAAAAAACCGTGCAGATGGATAAGAAAGGTTTAACAATTACTGGTCCATTTGAGCTTATGAGAACGATTTTCTTCTGACTGCGCGCTCGAAATTTCGCTACAAATGCTCTCATAAATTTTTTGTCCAAAGGCGCTCTGTAGATAAAGAAAACCGATTTGGGATTAACGTTCGATGCCTTCAAGGAGGTGCGTCTCTTCTAGAAAGGTCACATCAATTGAAAATTCTTCCTTGTAAAAAGAGACGTTTCTGATCTCGCGGAGCGAAAGTTCACGCGCTTTTGATACACATTCAAATGCAAATTCTTTTTGAATCAAACGAATCAAACAGGTTGCGAGCGGGGGCTTTGAAGAGTCCGAGTGAAGAGCGCGCGCGATGCGGCAGTTGCTTTATACGACGCGCAGGATCCAGCCGATTTGCCTTCAATAGGAAAGCAATCCATAGCGATCGTAGACTCCCTCGGAGTCACATCCTGCCCCCGAATTGCATAGCCACTCATTCTGGTCGAGGTTCGGTCAATGCTGGTCAGTTCGGGTTGAATTTGGCGAAGAGCAATTCGTATGTTCGTATGTTCCAGATTTTCCTCGTAACATTCTTGTTTGCCAGAGTATTTGCAAATTTTTCCCCGGATTTTTCTGCTTTTCTAGCCAGCTATTATGGTCCCCAAGTCAGAGACCAGATGGAGAGGTATCGTCTTTCTGCAATTATTTTTTGATTATCTCACTCATGTTTAATCAAAGATGAATGAATTTTTCACCAAAATTTTTCTCATGCTTTGGACTTCGTCATGTCAAAAATAAGATCTATGCTTGACAGGCGAGATCTCGAATCGAAAGGATCTTTTGGTGGGAAAGCGGATCGTTCGGAGAGATTGAAGAATCAACCAATTGTTTTCGTTCATGGCGTTTCGGATACGGCTGGCGAAAAGATGCGACAAGCAGCAAACTGGTTCAAGTAAGCTTAGCTTTGAGTAGTCGCAAAACTACTTGATCGACTGAAGGAGGCTTTTGAATCTTGAGGAATTGCCTATTTTAGAGCTAGAGGGTACTCCGATAGCGAACTCTACTCTACAACGTATTTCAATGGAGCGCAAGGAAATCCGCTGAAGTGGGTAGAGTACGGAATGCGATGTGAATACGTAAAGCAGGTAATTGTCCTGAGTATGGTTTTGCTGTATAAATTCACCATCATTCTTTCGAATTTTCCTTTTGGTCTCGTGCTCTGCTCTGTTCATTGAGTTGCAACATAACATGCAAATTTCTAGATATCCATTTGGATAAGCCTAATTGACTTTTTAATCCATGCAACATTTTTCTTCTAATCAATATATTGAGATGTGTCAAAGTTCTACCCGTTGTACTCTTTCTGATAAGCCAGATTCAAAAGAAAAATGAATTCTTATAAGATCTGCTTGGATCTTCTGAGAACTCTTTTTCTAGAGTTTTTTAAATATGCTTTTTTGTCTTAAGAGGGCAACAAAGCGAGTGAGGAATTCTCGCTTTTGCGCGTCTCTATGATTTCGAAGACGTGTAATGTTTGTTTGTTTTTAGAAAATTTCATACTTATGCATTTTAAGCACAGACATGGCCTGGCCTGCCATTGTAGTCCGTAGGCGCTCCCCCTAGCGAGTCTGAGGCGAGTAAATGTGAAGAAAACACGAAAAAATCTCCTCAATAAAAAGCGGTGAAAGAATTGGAAAAATTTTCAAAATATGTTCTGGTTTCTTTAACCGCGAATTAAGTAGGTCTTTCAAATACTATTACAATAACTTTTTGTGAAGATTTTGAATGTAAGCCAAAACGAACGATAGCTACAAATAAGCATACTGTATAACTAAGACAACTGACCGGGACTTCCGTAGAACGTTTGAGGAAGTTCCGCCGGATCACCTGCGGAAGTTTCGAAGAATGCGAACCACAACAGCAATTGAGAACACCTAAATGAGATTCGATCCTTGCTCTGTTGACTGCGACACTACTTACTATCCTCTGCACTATGGATGACGTGTTCGATACTGAACTCTAGTTGTTGGCGAGCAATATTGTGTAAGAGACAACCATTCAAAAACCTGCGGAAATACTGGCATGTCAAAGGAGTGCGGAGCCGCTGGCATTTTTTGAAAGTTCCGAAGCGTTTGTGAAAAGTCCTCGCGTTTTCATCAGTTCAACATGAAAATCCTGCGGAAGTTCCCATTTTTACGTTTTCACTTTTGCAACAGTAAACAAAATCTTGCGGAACCGCTGCAAATCCTGCTTGTCATGTGGAAGTCCAGGTGAATTGTTTGAAAATAGAGTTGTCAATATATTGCGCATATGGTCACCCTTTTGAGGGCAATATCTTCTTTACTGCATTAAAGGTCTCGAAAAGTAAGAATCAGGGCTTATTTGGCTCCCATCATTTTCAAACCTCTACCTATCATCATAGCGTATATAGAAATAAAGGAAGATTTGACCTACTCAACACATAAGGCTTGAACTGGCACAAGCTATTGTTTATATTGGCTGCTTCCAAAGACGTTTCTTGAGGTTTAAGGTTTGAGGGTATCCCAAAAAATGTAAACACTGTTTGATCGTTAACCATTCTTTAGAGCGAAGTTTAACTTGAATTTTTTGTACGGAGCAAATTATCAAAACTATTAATCACTTATTACTGTAGAATAATAGGAACCTCGAGAAGGATTTTAAGAAACTGAAAGCGATTTTTGCCTCAGAAGGAAGACCAAACGGCCAGAAACTCAGCTAAACCAATTATGGTCGCTGATTCTGAATATGAAAATTGCACTTTACCGCAATGCTTCAATTTTGAGTTATTTCAAGTTTAGGGTAGCGACTTTTTTAATGTTTGCCAGAGGTGTGATTATACTATTATAAAAGCTAAAAATTGGTAAAAAGTTTTATGTTAAAATCAGCTCGCTTAAAATCTGGCTACACAAATTTCTAGTTTTTTTGGATTTTTTTTTAATCAAAAGGTCTATTTTACAGTGGCGCCATATACTGAAAGTTTATACCGTAACCCTACAATAACGAAGAAAGATTGGATATTCGTTTAACACCGTAAAACCTAGGATGAACCTCGCTCTACACAACGGTACCTTAAGCTCGGTGAAAGCAAGAGAGTTGTTAACGATCAAACAGTGTTCACATTTTTTGGGACACCGTGTATAGTACTGTTCAGCCACACCCTTTAATTTAAGTGGATTGGCGGCTGGAAGGCGGTGCTTGTGACCTAATTAAGGGTAATACTGATCAGTGAGCACGCGCGTAAGAGAGACGCAGACTGCGTCGCGGGCGCGAGCGGCCTCAGTTAGGTCACAAAGCCCCGCCTTGCAGTCGCCAAGCCAGTTGAATCAAAGGTTAGTTACAACTTCGGAGAATACGGGCGTAGAGCGCCATAGAGCACATGTTGATATTTCTAACGTACAGGTGCTGTCGTCAACGAAAGAAGGCTGCAGTAACATCCAAACTAGACTACATATAACTCTGCGCATCTCTACCAATAGCCGCTAATATGCGCTGCGATATCTGTCAGTTATCACAGATGCTTTTCTTTCAGGTTCGAGCGCTAATCGTCGCCACGCGTCTCTATACAGGTCGGGCAGTCGACGTGATTGCATTTTCGCTGGGTGTTCCTGTATCGAGAAAAGCTATTCTAGGAGGTAGGTTTAAAAAGTACAGATAGCTGCTCACAGAATCTTTCTTCCCTCGAACTGAAAAATGCATTGGCTTATATTTTACTAGCTGGGATGCCCTAATTTCGCATTCGTATTCGCGTATTCACTTACCTCTGTGGCAGTTCCCAAACCCGTAGCTCAAAGTGCAAAAATCGATAAAGTCCATATCGATCCTTACGAAAAATAGCCTACGACACTTTCTCTGCCCCGAAGATTATTGCAAAGTTTGGTCGGAACTGGTTAGAGAAGGAAATTTTTTCAGAACATAGTACAAACAGATACACAGACACACCTACAGACAGACAAACAGACCTCAGCTTTATGAATAAGGTCAAAGCTTGCATAAACGCGTGAGAATCAGCAGCAAACCATAGTAACGGCGGTTACAGAACTTTCTCGAACTACAATAGAGAAGTGTGTTGAGATTCAAAGATGCAAATCAATAGCTTCTTATGTGATTTTCCACGTAATAGGTCTCGGCGCTAACAAGGGAATGGTCAAAAATCCAAGTGACCAATCCAAAGAGCTGCATACCATTAGATGCACTATAACTGGCTTTGAATCAGTCCTGTTCGGCTTACTGCTGGGCCAAGACATGCAGCTAAGTTATTATTTATTTTTAAAGCCTAAAGGTAATAAAATGCTTATAACTTCCACAAAGGCGCTAAAAGTAAAATCCAGATTCGAAATCAGCGCTCAATACTGCATCGAATGATAGGCAGCTTGCTAGGATTGGCCATTTCGAATTCTGACCCATTACGTGAGAAATAGACAGAGAGTATGACCTCCCTGATGCCCCTCATCAGTTTTTATTGGCAACGCTGCAGCCACACCATTCATCAATTTTTCGAAAACCTCGTCAAATCTTCCAGATATGCATGGTGACATAATCTTCCAGCAACGGCGAGATGAATCTCAAAATCCGAATCAGAATGGATTTTAAAAAATCCAAAAAAGTTATCGTATTATAACAACTGCGAGATCTACACACATATCTTATGAATTTCATAGATTGTTTTCGGAGGCTCTTATCTACTTCGTTTTATTTCGAATATTTGTTTTTGAAAGGGAAGGAAAAGCGCTCCTTTGTGTCATGCTTTGTATTGGAAAAATCTGCGTATTATAACCATCATTCTGCGTATTCTATTGTATTCTGCACGCATAACTTCCACACAAGTATTCCTCGAGAGTATGAAAAAATAAACTCTAAGAACCTCATATCTATGGTAGAAGTATTAGCACCATATATCGGAGATTAAGTGCGAAGTATCCCCGAGTCACTCGTAGCTCAATATGCGTATTGCACACCCTGAGCGACAAACTTGTAAGATTAGAAACTGCCCAATCACAATGATTTCTCCTTGTTTCCTTGCTTCTATTGGTTCAGATACGTATCAGTCAAGATACACACCTTCACAGTTTACTGAGAAGTTATTGTTAGCCGTCACGGCGCGCATTGTGTGCAGCCTCACTTATCAAGCTGTAAATGACTCGACGATAAGATGTAGTGCAGCGCTTTTGTTTTTCTTCACATTCGCAGATGTTTCAAATTCGCAGCATTTTTGTCGGAGACTCAATATCTCTGTATTCTTAAAATTAACGTAAAATGGTTTAGCAAATAGAATGTATATTGTTTGTCAGAAACAAAGTGGTCGATGCATCCGTGAAATATGAGAAGTTTATTAGAATTATGCTTCCTAATTTTGATTTCAGTTGCAGTAATCATTTGAGCTAGTACAAAACATTGGACTCTGCATTACAATCAGGTTCAAATGCAAAGTCTTCAGTAACAATGGACAACTTTATTTATTTACTTATTTATTTACATATTTATTTATTTACTTATTTGGTAGCTCATAGTCTTGCTGTAATTTTTCAATGACTGATTGATTGAATTCACTATCAAATTAGGAAAAATAAAGTACTCAGCAGGGAATGGTCAGAACTTAACCCAGCCATTCCAAACAAGCTGCATATCAACGGACTCTCTTTCAAACGTTGATTTCAAATATATGTTTATTATCTGTCAAGCGACTGTCTGGAAGGGTTATGAGCGTTTAAATGTGCGATTTGCCAAGGGTCCTGTACGCATTATCCTCGAAATACGTTTGAAAACCTTTTATTTGGGGTTTTAATGTGCTTCTTTTCTGTAATTGAATTAACAATAGCCACTGTGAATTCGACATCAGGCTGTCTTTGAAATATATTCGTCGAAATTCGATAAATTTCTCATATCTAAACGCTCATAATCCTTCCATATAGTCGCTTGGCTGATAATAAACATACATCTAAAATCAGCGTTCTAAGACGAGTCTGATGCTTTTTCGGAATGGCTGGGTTAAGTTCTGGAATTTCTTCGTTAGCTTCATTCCATCTATAATGCAAATTTTGGATATTTTTCTGAGAATTCCAGTCGATACCTCTAATTGAGGTGTGCTGCCTCCTAATTTTTGAAGTTTTGTTTACTTCAAAAGTGCGAAAGTAGACTTGAAAGGAATTGGGAGACTAGCGCTAGTAATTTTATTCACAGGTCTCAAGTGATCTTCATGTGATTTTGATTTCGTACTGTATCCTATGCAACTCGTGTAACAAATATTTCTTGTTAAAATTTTCAGGACACTGCGTGGATTCGGGCGAATATCTGGGAGGACCACTAACAAAATATATTGACACATTTGTTGGTGTGGCAGGACCAAATCATGGGATAAGCTTGCAGGTTTCTTGAGATTTTTTCCTCTTTGTATGTATTTTTTAGTCGCTTTACAGGTGGGCGGCATTGCAATCCCCGGATGTGTGTTCAGCGTTATTCCTGTGTGCAATCAAGTGACTGGGCTATACTCGGGTGTGTGCCCAAGCGAAAGCGAATTTTTGCAGGTAACTTGCGTAAATTATTTTCAATTCTTCCCGCTTTCCTACTGTCCTTGCGTTGTTTCCAAGACATTTTCTTCTTCAGGACATAAATAGACAAGTCGGATACGAGGGTATGCACGTATTTACGATCCACTCCAAAAAGGACCAGATAGTTGGTCATATTGTCTGCAATAAGGTATTCACCATCATTAATCGTTGTCATATTTTATTCCTGACGTAGAGTACAAAGGAATTTTATAGCAGCTGGAGTTTTTTAGACAGGCAGTAAAAAAACTTATCTGAATTGCCTCCGCCACTCATTCGAGACTTTCAAAGTCTAGTAGACTAGTTCATCTGAACAAATCATCATTTTTTCAGCATTACTCAAAATTTTTTGAAATATCGTTATAAAAGGCGATGATACTCAAACTTCGCAGCTTTAACTAGAAGTGAAAGATGGTTTGCGGAAATGCGCAGGACCATACAATACCGTTCACATTTTTTTAAAAATAGACGCGAATGTATGGACATGTATGGACATGTACGGACATGTCCATACATGTATGGACATACATGTCCATACATTCGCGTCTATTTTTCAAAAAGTGTAAGCGGTATCGTATAAAATTACCACTTTTACGATTATCTAGCATTCACATACAGAGTGGGTTGTGCTTCTTGTTGAGGAGGTTATGCCTCCTTCGAATTCACTGCTCAGTTTTATTTTCGTACCTCTCAGCTTACTTCAGTGCGATATTTTTGCGCCTATTGTTTTGATACAAAATTGACAAAAACTTCACATCGAATTTTGTACTTCGCGGCAAAAAATTCTACGGTTTTCATGCTTTGAGGCATCATGAAAGATTCGCATATTGGATCGATCGTTTTCACAAATTGAATAATTTTCTGCGCCAGCTTCCAAAAGTACACAAAAAAGGGAGGAGTTGTTGTTGATTTTCGATTGAAAGTCACAAAAAATTCAAATGGTGTATAGAGAGAAACATGATTTAGTAAAGGAAAAATAGCCACAAAAGTGTGCGTGCCATTATGCTAAAGCGTTTACAGAAAGCCTCAGTTTTCAAAATACGAAAAGCTAACTGAGTCACAAAATCCCTTTTTTAGTTCCTATATGCAGACTTTCTTTCATTGTTTATGTTCTCCAGGTAACTTCGCAAATCGCTGGACAAATGGGCGAGAAGGTGTTCGAAAATCTCAATCATGATGATACTTTCCACACGTCTCACAATGTGCAATTCCAAATGATTCGGAACCATATAGTCATCTAGTTTTGTTGATTTATTTATTGTTTGTTGTACAAATATATAGAATTATTATGAAGAATGTTTTATCACAGCCCCAAAGAGTGAAGATAGGAGAGTATCGTTTAATTTGGAAAATCCTAGGAATTGTGCATCCGTTCAGCTCTTTATATCTTCTTTGTCCTCCTCGTCGCTGGTGGCTTTAGATCTCTTCGTCACACTTCCTAAGTAGAAGGTGATTTTCTTGTAGTACTTGTTGGGTGAGTGGAAATTGACTTACTCAAGCATGTGGCGATTTCCATCATGATTCCCCTAGAAACATCACTTTTGAGCGCACAACCGGTCAAATTGTCCAGTAAGCGCAGCTCATTTGGCATGAACAAACCGCACCTAAAGGACTTTCGAAGGAAGCTCTCTTTAATTGAAACAGAAGCTTACTTCATTGTTCTGGTACAAATGTTTTCTGCTGGGTAGAAGCATTGCAACATACATCGACTCATATTCTCACCAGTCTTGCTGCTAAACTCGTGAAAAACGTCTGAAACAACTTTAAGTTTCCAAGATAGTCTTCTCCAATGACTATGTATGGTATCACTTTGCATAACGGTGATAAACATGTCTGTTTCAAAATGCTTTTGCGTCCTCCTTGAACTTACAACCAGACAAATATTATCCGAAACAGTAGCTTTGCTTCATTTCTCTGAAATTCTGCAGGTGTCGTCGAAAAATTTCGAATTATAGAGACTTCCATGGAAGTAGCCTTGAGTGATGTTTGGAACTTTTACTTTCATGTACGGTGTTAGTTCACTCAAACAAAAACAAATATTAGGTTGGCACATAAGTTCTGCAGCTTTTTTTTTAACTTTTATCCCTTTGAATGAGGCCCCCTCAAATTACCCTTTTGTGCAGAGCTTCGCCAAAATCCGAAGATCTCTCTTTGGCTTTGATGGATTTCCGAGGCGACTTCGACGCATTCAACTCGTTCGAGTCCATTAAATCGCCAAATTTGGATTCGACTTTAACTCACGATTATTCTTTCACTGGGCTTAGCTGCCAATATCTGATAGCTTTTTGCTTCAGGTTCCGGCTGAATTCGGTTGATTCATGATCTTGTACGCATTCTTTTTTTGCTAAAATAAACCTTAAAACCTTTAATCGTCTAAGGAATATACACAGATTTTTTTATTTTGCCATAGAAAATTAAAAAGTTTGCGCAGAATTATAGCCCACTTCCGATCATATTGCCAAAATTTGAATGCGTTTCATGCAAAGAAAAAGAAGTTATAGGAAAAGTTGCAAAACCTATGTGTCACCTAATATATTACGATCTATCAGAAAAGGTTCATCACTGTCATGAGATGTTTGTCGTAGAAGATCAAAACCTTGAGAAAGTAAGGAAGTAATTCAAGCTGCACATTGTTAGCGCAGCATCACTTTGGTCTTTGAATTTCTCAAATTCTAGAGTTAGTTGATAGTCATAGTGCACAAGTGGGAGTTCAAATATCCCGAGACCCTCCAAAATTCAAATCCTTAACTTGAATTTGCTTAGCCTGCAGCAGCGTAGAGTAAACTAAAACATTCTCGAAAAACTAAAATTTTCTATTATTCTATTAAAATTTTCTATTTTCCCATACACCGTGCTTACAAATGGATAATCTGCTTTATCCATATTGTTTTTTGATTGAGTGGATGTTAGTTAGAAATGAATCATTATGTTTACAACACTCATCTGCTATAAAACTCACCAACTTTCTCGCCAATTTCATGGAAGTCTTTTAGAAAGAGCTCCTCAAATAGCGTGAAGTTCCTTTTGTTCAAAACATTCTTCTCATTGCTTGTGCATCTGAATACTGAAGAAATCTTCTGAGCATCTCAAGCTTGAATATCAAAGCCTTACCCTGTACCAACTGCTTCATGGGCGCATTTGAGCGTTTTCGTGAGCACATGGTCAAATTCCGATAAGCATTCTACGAACTCTTTGGGTAAGTCTCCTTTCACCCTCCTCTTGAAAAAGTTATGGATTTTACTAAGTCGATATTAAAACCTAGGTAGCCTAACCTTGCAGGTGTGCATACATTTGCCGAAACTCATTGCTGGTTTGAATTTTGTCTCACATTTCTTGTAAGAATCACAATGACATTGTTCTTGTATCCGGGCTTCCAAAATAGTAACCATTGTCAGGAAGATTCCAACTATGAGCATTCTTGAAAAGAGATTTCTTTGAGTGAAAAACAGCAAATATACGGGGTGCGCCAAAATAAGTTGCGCCGACTTTTGCACCACTACCATAATAAAACCATTGAACATAGCACAAAAGACTCTACGAGCTACATTCTTCAGAATTCGAAAGAACTCTATACAAGAATGTGAGATTAGATAGAAAGAGATCAGCGAATTTCAAATAAGTAAAAATCTCATCTTTATGCCTTTATATTTTGCTTTGCAACTAAATAAACACAAAATTTTGCTAAACCGTTCCAAAGTGAGCTTGTAGACAAGATTTTGAGATTTCAGATGGTTCTTTTGCATTCGCAAAAATTCATTCTTTTACGAAATACGGACATGTGTTTGCGAAAATTACCTGCATACAGCAACAACCTTATTGTTCAAAATCGATTTTGAGACTCCACACGTGCAAAGCTTTCCAAGTAAAAAACAAATCTTTATTTATGAGGCATGTGGAAAAGCACGTATCATGAGGGGTTTGTTAAAATGATTCACAAACTGATCTAGAAAACATTTTCTGATTCTTAGGCGCATTTGAGAGAGCTAAAATAACACCGATTTTCAATATGCTGCCTTCCAAGCATGAAGTTCAAAAACTTATAATCCCTCTCCAAATTGATTTTCAAATATCCGTACCTTGTTGTGTTGAAGACGAAGGTTTACTTTACCTTGTTGCGCGGTTACAAAGTAAGAGAAGCAACTTCCGGAAAGATATCGTCTAAACTTGGAAAGTTACGACCCCACAGAGTGAATTTAGTCAATGAAAAAGATTTGAAATTTTTCCGAGAAATGAATCAACCAAATTTTGATTTGACTGTTGCGATACGCTGAGAGTGATTGCTGGAACTAGATGCATACTTGATCCGCAGTTAAGCCCTCCCTGTATCCTTTTGGCGCTCACAGAAACACGCACAATTTATTTTGGCAACAAATGGTACCACAGAAAAGAGAACAGGAAACTGAATGCATAGCAAAATGATTTCGCTGGTCATTTACGTCCACTGAATGCGATCATCGTTGATGTTTTGTCTTATATAAAACGCTGCGCTTAAAGGGTGTGTTTTGCTCACTTTCATTTGATTGAATTATCTCCTTATCATTACGTCAGTAACTCGTTTCTTTTCGCTCTTTTCAACTTTAGTGTATTATAGTACATATTACTAATGAGAGAATGATTTACAATGCAGAAAAAGAGTTGAAACTTTAGTACATCTCACTCATGACAGAAGCTTGAAATGAGTCAAAAGAAACTTATTCTCAAGGCTTTTGAAAAACTTATATGCCCAGATAAATTGCTGCAACACTTTATTTAACTGTTATCAGACCATTTTTAAAAGTCTGGAATGAAAAGGAAAGACACTTGAAATCAGAGTATCTAAAAAGCTTGGGTTGGATATTCTGACGATTATTCTTAAATCACAGAAGAACTGGAAACGAAGGCATTACCGCAGAAAAGAGGATGAAATTCCGATTGAACACTGTTTGAGGATAGGTCTGTGAATGGCAGAACTTACGGAGCACTTCACATATTCTAGGGATACTCGGCTTCGCTAACCTCCCCCCTCTCAAAACTTTGAAGGGAGCAAAGGAAGCAAAGGAATCATGTTTACTCGAAGTGAACTTTTCAAATAGCATGTATACTATACCATACTCGACAGCATAAAACGCTGACCTTCATATCTGCCATCCTCATTTGCTTAACGAAGAGTTATGAGCGTTTATTGGAGCAAAAAGAAAAACTGTCTTTACTCGGACATTCGCAGTTGACGACGCGAAACGGAGTTCAACTCATTGAAAACATGCGGAACACCTCCGTTACGGTCTGGACAATCCAGCTATTGGTTCGGGACAAAACTGCCGGAGAAACGCCGGTTGAGCAATTTTCACCTGCGTTTGGTTCGGGATTTGCCTGCAGTACCTTTTCCGGTCAAACGCAGGTTAAGCGCCGGTTGATTGCAAGAGTTCCGAAGCGAGTATGGGGCGCGAATCTAGCCGTAGAGCACTCTTGAGTATTGTTCAAATTTCTGGAATACCTTCTATACTGAGCGAACAGCAGAGACTGATTCGACGCAAATTTATTCATCTCAGCGACAACTCAACGACAAAACCAGAACAAACGACAACAATACTCTCAATCTCAACAACAGGATCTCAACAACCAAATTGTACATCAATGAGAAAAAAAGAGAAAACGAAAATTAGTCCTCCTCAGGCGAGTCCCGGAATTCCGTTTTTCGATAGTCGTGCCTTCTTGCGTCCTTATCATTTTTTCTGAAATTGGAAAAGAACGAATTACATCACAGCTCTAAAAAAATAGAGATACTCACTTTGGAAGGAATGAGGGTTAGGCACGCTGCATGGAATTTGTATTGGCGTACGTCAGATCTGAAAACAAACGCGGACGTTAACACCCTCCACAGCATTTTTTCAAACCCACGATACAGGCAAAAACAGAGCAGTTAGTTTGAGATGAAGCATGAAAAACTTACAATGCTTTGCTGATTGCCGCGCGGCATGTGTTGTCTAGTTCGTTTGCGCTTTTGATAGCGCATCAAACCTTTTTCTTCTTTGAGACTCGTTCTCGCCCAAATAAGCCCATTATCTAACTAAATATAATATCTTCTACCATTTACGTGATAAAAATTTACCTTCTGTGAATTCTAGCACATTCAGCAGGGGTAAAAGCAATGCATCGCCAAATAATCCGAGTGCATCGAGCAGGAAATCTGAGATTTGAAGTCAACTCCTTCAAGTGGTCTCGGAGAAACTTGCCTATAAGATAAGTGACTAAGAATTCGGGAAAGTCCTTGAGCCTTTTATCCTTTCCGTTCTTACCGGATTGTCGACATGCATATTCTTGAATGGCGCGGCTAGGATCGCATGCCTAATTATATGTACCTGCCGAACTTGGCTGCACAGGGTAGTATCTACTTACATTTTAAAAAAATAGAAATCCAAAAATCCAATTCAATCCCTTACTCGAATACCAAAACTGGTTTTTCTAAAACGTGAGAAAGTATAATTATAGCGCAACGTTACAGTTTCCGGCAAAATATCGAGAAACCCCGTCTCGATCAAGAAAGCAAAATATTCGAATCGAAAATAAGAAGAATCGGCTGAACATACCTTACAAAAAACCTGAGAATTGCAAAACGCAGTAGCAATACTTCCACAAAGTTCAGCAATAAGCAAACATCTTTTTCTTTTTTGACGAAGCATTGGTTTCAACTGAAAAATGATATTCTATTGGGAAGCAACGTCGTGAATTGCATTAGAAATGCTGAAGAAACAAGGATCGATAAACGACAATAAAGACATACGTATAGAATACACGGTCTGAGAAAGACGGAGGAGCCGGCTACCGCTGATGCATGGAAAATGAAAATGAGCGTAACCGCGGAATGAAAGCTTCTCTCCGATACCTGTTGGCACTTGTCAAGCACGTCCGGTTAAACCAAAACAACTCACAAATTCGATCGATCTTGATACACGTCGATACAATCCCGATCAATTTGCCTGTGGAGTCGGGTCAACGCCAGGACAAAATTTTGTCCCGAAACAAAACGAAAGTGGGTAGATCTCCTTCGGTCGTAAACGGCGAATGCCTGAGCAGGAATGATATTCACGAAAGTCCCGACGAAATGGGCTTTTCGTGCGAATAAAATGGATTTATTTTCCACGTATTCTCATCTTGTAACCTGGGCATGTCGTATCGAATATGTGTAGTGCTGTTCTGCCAACCAGGTTGTTATGGTGGACCTTTATTGACCTTACGTTTCGACAAATATCGTCTTCTTCGGAGGTCTGAAAGGGAATTGAAGTCAATTCATCTGTTAGTCTACATGACCAAACGCCTCATCAGACTTCCGCGTTTGAACCTCGTCGAGGCGCAACGTGCCGAAAAACATTCCAAAGTAGATCCACTAACCTCTAGTCCACCGTAGAGTCAGTAGTCCTCACGGAAGTGACGGACATCACTGAGGTTCCTCAGTGTGCCAGGACTTTATATACTGTGCGGTTTTAGATCGCATAATGACATAAGAGGCAAGAGATCACTCGTTATTGTCACGCGTTCATTTTTGTTGTTCATACCCGGAGATCCACGCCGCTTCTAGCATTTTTCGTGCCGATATCTCAACCTCTTGCGCTAAGATTGTACACTTCACTTCAAATTCGTTACCATTATGTGCCTCGATCTTATGTTTGCCTAAGGGAGATGACAGGTTTCCCCGCCTTTTGTTAGCCAGGTGTTCCTTCATTCTAACACTTGGAGTTCTTCCGGTTTCTCATATATACGTTGCGCCACAAATTAAGCACTCTAGTTGATAAACGATGCCTTCTTTTGCGCAGTCACCTAGTTTCCCGTGAGGGCATACGATACAATCGTCTGATATACATTCCATGTCATACAGTCTATTCCTGATCAACCGCTTTTTGATGTTACTACTAGGAATGTTGACCAGTACTATCTCATTCTCTAGCTGTGCTCGTGCTATGCATCGGTTTACTGCCTTACTGAAACTATCGGAGACAAATGGCACGCAGAAAGGGATCCTGTTCTCATTATTATCGCTTCGCACAAGACTACAGTCAGTGAATCGTCTAGATGTTCGGTTTCGGGGATGCGTAGATGTGTAGCCGTTGCTGCGAGCAATTCTGAGTGCTAGCTGTTGCGATTCAATCCGTTCGTTCTCGCCCGTACATACTTCTACAGCGGTTTTGTACATATTACGGATGATGGAATTTTTGACAGCTGTAGGATGCGCTGACGTAGCGTGGACAAGTATGTTTTTGGAGCTTTCCTTTCGATACCATTTGATTCGTACAGCGCCGTCAGATAAATTTATCTGGGTGTTCAAAAAGGAAAACCAACCACTGCGCGGGGTCTCTCGTGTAAGCTTAATGTATTGCGATTGCTCGTTCAAAATCCTAAAGCATTCATCCATCTCGGACTGTGTGGATGTGACGATACAGCAGTCGTCGATGTAGCGGCAATACATTAACGGCAATCGTGCGAGTACTGGCTCCTCAATCTTGCTCATGTAACAGATCGCGAGAACTGGGGCGAGTCATTGACCATCGCAAGCCCTCTAGTCTGAGAATAATAATTCCCAGAGTACTTGAAGATGTTACAATTCAAACATTCCCTAATAAGGAGCAGTACGCATTCTTTGCTTAAGCCAAAGGTTATCATGGTGGAGTAATATTTGTCTAACATCTCCGATAAAGCTTGTAGAGCAGCATTGTTTTGAACATTGGTGTACAATGACGTTACGTCGAAAGACTCGACAATACTACCAGGTTCAAAATTTAAGCTCCGCAGCTGCTGTACAAATTGTTGAGTGTTAGACAAATGTGCAGGCACTTTGGCTAAAAGCTGGCTTACAATCTTGTTCAAAAACCAAGATAGTCGGCCAGTGGGTCCACTTACGCAGCTTATGATTGGGCGAATTTTATAGGATTGTGGTGACATTGACTGTAATTCGTTTGCCGCTAAGTTGTGAGTCTTGATTAAGTGGTAGAAAACTGGACATTTTGGATTATCTAGTTTTAGTCTGTTGATCAACTTGCTATCAAGTCCGACAGACTTTCCAACGCTTATCCAAACATTATTCAGCCTTCTGCACTGTGCCTTATATTCTTGTTTAGTAGCGGGTCGATAAATCGTACTATCGGAAAGATGCACTCTAGCAATTTCTCGATCTAACGATTGGGGTATTACTACGAATTCTCGGCCTTTGTCACTTATAGATATTCGGACTGACTTTTCTTCTACCAATTCACGCAATTCTCTGAAACCCTGCCAATGCTCTCGTGTCAAGTTAGTTTGACGGATGTTTTTGTATCTATTCAGAATGTGCAGCATTTCGGTTGTAAGAATGCGGAAATTTGTTTCAACAGTTGGCGCTGGCTCGGATTCTCTATAAAAGGAACGAGGGAATGGTATACTTGGCAATAATTGTCCTGCCGTTGGCAACAATTGCTGGGTATTCTCTTGTCTAGCTTTCAATCTCAAAGATCGCGCAAATGGTATAAGTTACCCAGTATTTTCCGGCACATTATGGCATTAACATTCTGCGAAGGTGAGAAGGAAGGGCCGAGATCAAGAAATTGAACTGCGCGTTCTGATAAATAAACGTTACCAACAACGGTGACTCTTGCATCAGCGTCATTCGGACCACATATGTCAGTAGAATGGTGGCTTTGAGGACAGCTTTTCTCATTATCTTCATGTTTTTCGCGCAGTGCTTCCAGGAGTTGGTTGAACTTTCTGCAAAGCCTTGACTTAGCCTTAGATCGGATAGAGTTGCAAACTAGTCTCGATCCGCTCTCAATCCTCCTCCACTGATCTTCTGGTAGAAGACATTTACAGCTCATTTCCTTACAAGACATTTCAATAATGTCGAATACAACACACGTTGTTTTTCTCTAATAGCTAAACTCAACAAAGAATAATAGATCTTCTTAAAGGGCCGGGCATACTTCACGCGATTTCAGTCGCGACGCGATTTGGCAATTCGCCAGAACTCTTCAGATGCAACATTAGCAAACTGCACATGCATGGTGTGTAAGACTTGAGTGGGTTGATAAAATACGCTATCTTCTGTACATTCAAATTGTGCTTATAATGAGTTACGGACAGTTGGAATATTGCCAAATCGCGTCGCGACTGAAATCGCGTGAAGTATGCCCGGCCCCTAACACGTACATCATCTTCGCGTAAACAACAAGTGCTTTCTAATTTCTTCCTCGGAATGAAAGATGGTAGGATTTTCGCCTTCTTACATCGCTGAAGGAATAGAAGAGACTGGCGGACTGCAACCACCCGTTGGCGGAGCGATATTGCTTCGCGAACCAGAGAGTAGAACTTCGGCGGTATATTGGTCAGTATTTTCCACGTATTCTCATTTTGTAACCTGGGGATGTCGTATCGAATATGTGTAGTGCTGTTCTGCCAACCAGGTTGTTATGGTGGACCTTTATTGACCTTACGTTTCGACAAATATCGTCTTCTTCGGAGGTCTGAAAGGGGATTGAAGTCAATTCATCTGTTAGTCTACACGACCAAACGCCCCATCAGACTTCCGCGTTTGAACGTCGTCGAGGCGCAACGTGCCGAAAAACATTCCAAAATAGATCCACTAACCTCTAGTCCACCGTAGAGTCAGTAGTCCTCACGGAAGTGACGGACATCACTGAGGTTCCTCAGTGTGCCAGGACTTTATATACTGTGCGGTTTTAGATTGCATAATGACATAAGAGGCAAGAGATCACTCGTTATTGTCACGCGTTCATTTTTGTTGTTCATACCCGGAGATCCACGCCGCCTCTAGCATTTTTCGTGCCGATATCTCAACCTCTTGCGCTAAGATTGTACACTTCACTTCAAATTCGTTACCATTATGTGCCTCGATCTTATGTTTGCCTAAGGGAGATGACAGGTTTCCCCGCCTTTTGTTAGCCAGGTGTTCCTTCATTCTAACACTTAGAGTTCTTCCGGTCTCTCCTATATACGTTGCGCCACAATTTAAGCACTCTAGTCCCACCCATATGTTGTTGCTTGATTTGCTGATCAAAAGATATCCGGTGTTTTTTGTTTTGTTTTGTGTTTACTACTTCATTTTCATTGCGGCTCTCCTTAGTATCCTCATGTTAGCTGTTTTGTTCGATTGATAGCACGCCGAAGTGCGTATGAATAAATAAATAAATAAATAGTTGATAAACGATGCCTTCTTTTGCGCAGTCACCTAGTTTCCCGTGAGGGCATACGATACAATCGTCTGATATACATTCCATGTCATACATTCTATTCCTGATCAACCGCTTTTTGATGTTACTACTAGGAATGTTGACCAGTACTATCTCATTCTCTAGCTGTGCTCGTGCTATGCATCGGTTTAACTGCCTTACTGAAACTATCGGAGACAAATGGCACGCAGAAAGGGATCCTGTTCTCATTATTATCGCTTCGCACAAGACTACAGTCAGTGAATCGTCTAGATGTTCGGTTTCGGGAATGCGTAGATGTGTAGCCGTTGCTGCGAGCAATTCTGAGTGCTAGCTGTTGCGATTCAATCCGTTCGTTCTCGCCCGTACATACTTCTACAGCGGTTTTGTACATATTACGGATGATGGAATTTTTGACAGCTGTAGGATGCGCTGACGTAGCGTGAACAAGTATGTTTTTGGAGCTTTCTAATGAATGAAATAGCTTTCTAATAAATCTAAAAAATGCTAGAGGCGGCGTGGATCTACACCGGAAATCCGGGTATGAACAACAAAAATGAACGCGTGACAATAACGAGTGATCTCTTGCCTCTTATGTCATTATGCGATCTAAAATCGCACAGTAATAAAGTCCTGGCACACTGAGACGGAAGTGACGGAAGTGACGGACATCACTGAGGAACCTCAGTGATGTCCGTCACTTCCGTGCGGACTACTGACTCCACGGTGGACTAGAGGTTAGTGGATCTATTTTGGATTGTTTTTCGGCACGTTGCCTCGACGAGGTTCAAACGCGGAAGTCTGATGAGGCGTTTGGTCGTGTAGACTAACAGATGAATTGACTTCAATCCCCTTTCAGACCTCCGAAGAAGACGATATTTGTCGAAACGTAAGGTCAGTAAAGGTTCACCATAACAACCTGGTTGGCAGAAAGCACTACACATATTAAAAATGGATTTAGTCCATGTGGTGCGATAAGATATCGCATCCGCGGCATTCCATTTCATACAATGCTAGAGCTCCGATTAGATAGTAACACTTTCTAACATGCTCACTGTTCATGTCTTTGTCGAGCTACATGTTCTAACATGTAGTCGACATAGACATTGAGCAGGTTAGATGAACACTTCAACATGTTCAAACTACGTTTGTTGACACGTCACCGCTTTCTAGCGTCCTGAATCACTTCGCCTCACTTTTATTCGACGCCAATCGACATACAGCTCTCATCCGCTTTTCTGTTCTTAGCCATACTATTTCATGGACTCATCTTTGTTGTTATCTTCGGCTCTTGACCGCAAGGGCTGAACGTACATTGCGGGGACCGCCCAGTCAAACCCTGTACCTGTGGCGGTCCGAAAGGGTGGGGTTTGCGAAGGGGGGAGGGCATTTGAAAACTTGGAAATTGAATTTGGAGTTGAAAAAATTTCAGAAAAAATGGTTTGAAAATTTGAAAGCTGAATTTGAAAAATTTTTCGCCGCACCCTTCACCGGACGTAAACCCTACGACCGCCACTGCCCTGTACCGATACCAATCGCTGTAGTACATAGTTCAAACGCCGATTCGCGCACGCTCCGCAGTTTGCGGCCAACTTTGGTCGACACTAAAGATAACTTTATCATGTACAGAGTGCATATTCTATAAGATATCTCTATGACACCTAGATATTTCTATGTATCAGATATCTTTATGTACTAGGTTGAAAATGTGGCCTGTAAATTTCTATGAACTGAATCAAAAGGAAGTTATGATTTAGTCATTTTAATTAAGTTCACATACTTAAGCATCATTAGAAGAAGAAGCTTCTCTTTTTCATCCAATCATTTGACTAAGTAATTCGTATGATTATTAGATGGACATTTTGAGAGATTTGCAGGGTTTCAGATTTGATAGTGAATTTAAGGTCATAAAGGTTATTTTTCTGATTTTCAAACCATTACAAAGCTGTTTAAAAAACGACTTTTTGGGGCTCGTTTATTACCCTAAATTGAGCTCAGGAACACATTCTTAGTAAACTGCGATCAAAAATGTGCAAAAAGGTTTAAATGGGCTTAGTCACAGCTCACCTTGCTGCTGGAAGTAAAATGGGCTTTCAAGTCCATTTGAAATGTAGGTTAATCTCATTTTGCCACATTTTTAATAGACTTTTCGCATGACTCCTTCGCAAGCAAGAGCTCAGGTAGAGTTGAATCATTTTCATTACAGTGCCTTTCGTGGATATCATTCCTAGAGTGATAATCACGAAAGTTCATAATGTGGAAAATGAACTTTCAAACCCCATTTTATTCGTTCGCGGTAGAAACTGGTCGGAATCTGCTTTCGCTAGCGTTATCCAAAATCTTCCATCTCATCGCAATTACGAGGCGAAGGGTTGCGATGAAAATGATTCAACCATACCTGAGCTTTCGCTTGCGAAACAATCACGCGATAAGACCATTTATATTGGGGCAAAATGGAATTTATAGGCGATTTCCATGCGTATAGTGGGCGTGGCCCTGCACACACTTGAACACGTTGAGAAACTTGTTATACCCCCATTCCAAAGCATTAGTTTTTGTGCTCTCTAGCTACCAGAAAACGGCCACGCTTATACGTTGGCAAACGTCGTCAAGCTTCTCCCGCTATTCTATGAAGAATGGACGTTACCTCCATTTTAAATAAAGTTAAAAGACCAATTTACTCCCAGCAGCAAGGTGAGCCGGGACTAAGCCCATTTTTGACCTTTTTGTGTATTTTTAATTGCGATTTTTTGAGAATGTGTTGCTTAGCCTATTTTGAGGTAATAAGAGAATGGAAAAAGTTTTATGTTTTTATGAAGTCTAAAATACAAGTTTCTTTCTAAATTCCACAAACGTTATAAAAATTATGGAAGAACATTAAATTCACCAAAATATTTGCTAACAAACTCAGATGCTTCCAATTATCAGGTCAGTGCGAAAATTCCTATGTAAATCATAAAGTGTGTTAACTCTTCAAATCATCAACCAAAACGAAATTCATGATTTGTATTTAAAGATAAGAAAAGATTTGCGATTCAATATAATCACTCAGAAGCTATCTTTTGACTAGTCTCGTAGAACTAAACTTCAAAGCCGGTATTTCACACGCGTTTTTTAGTTTGGTCGCAAGGATTAGTGAAGTGCCCTTAGCTGGCAAGAAAAATTCTGTGAAAAATTTCTTACTAGCAATAGTTCATACATTCAACTACTTAGAGATATAAAATCGCGCCGCATGGGTTAGTCCATTTTATTCGCACGAGAAGCCCATTTCGCGGGAAATTTTGTGGATACATTCCAGAACAATAAGCTCGGGTGTGTGTGTGTGTGTGTGTGTGTGTGTGTGTGTGTGTGTGTGTGTGTGTGTGTGTGTGTGTGTGTGTGTGTGTGTGTGTGTGTGTGTGTGTGTGTGTGTGTGTGTGTGTGTGTGTGTGTGTGTGTGTGTGTGTGTGTGTGTGTGTACAAAGTTTGGTTATAAAAATGAAAGTTTTTGAAAAGATTTTTTTGAAAAGTTAATTTAAATTTGGGACCCATTCTCGGGAGAGAGGGGGGAGGGGAGCCCCCTCGGACCGCCACTAACGCATACATATATATAGCCACTTAGCTTTATATATAAGATGATAAATATTAGTTTGGTGCAAAAGTTCTTTCGCACCAAGTTCAAAAATTCATAACTTTTTAAATTCTCAACGAATTTGTACGGCCAAAATTTTGGCTAAGAAAGGAACTCATGCTTTTTGCACCTGTACCTGAATGTTCGTTAATGCTTACAAATGAAGGAGATAGAAGCTCAAAACCAAAATCACTCAAAATTTGAATTTTCCGTGTAAGGTCATAAAAATTCGGAAACTTGCAACAAAAATCGGAGCAGTCAGTATTGTAAAGTCTTTCACCAGCTCTTTCTAAGGTGCAAAGTTTGCGCTGATTGAGCGTCTCTATGAAAAGATATGATTTTCGAGCAAGCAATACAAAAGGGCGAATTTGATTTATTTTGGCATTTTTCAGGGATATCATAACTTCAATAGAGACGCTCAATCAACGCAAACTTTGCACCGTTAGAAAGGGCTAGTGAAAGAACCTATAATACTGACTGCTCCGATTTTTGTTGCAAGTTTCCGATTTTTTATGACCGACCCTACACGAAAAATTCAAAATTTGAGTGATTTTGGTTTTGAGCTTCTATCTCCTTCATTTTCATTATCTCCTTCCTCTCTTCTTCCTTACAACGCGAGGACGCTGGCATCGGACGCATCTATCGAAGATCTCATGATGCAAGCAAGGAAGATTAAGTACGACGTCATCGGACTGACCGAGACAAGGAGGCACCACCCGCTGAACGCCACATTTGAGACTGGAGAAGAACTGTTCCTAGGAACATGCGACAGTCGAGGAGTAGGCGGAGTGGGAGTCCTTGTCAACACGAGTTTGGCCATGAACATCGATTCGTTCGAACAACTTACAACTCGAATCGGACGTTTGCGAATATCAAGATGTGGATCAATCCCTGCCTTGACCGTCTTCACTGCGTACGCCCCAACATCCAGCTACGACGAGGACGAACTCGAGGAATTCCATATGGACTCGGAGAAGTTCTACAGAGAAGATCATACCTTCTACAGGATCATCGTCGGTGATTTCAACGCGAAGATCGGAACTAAAAGGTCGCCTGAGGAACTTCACATCGGAACCCATGGTTTGCAGTGGAACGAACAAGGGGAGAGACTGTCCGAGTTTATCATGACGACGAGGACTATCCATGGAAACTCACAGTTCCAAAAGCCCTCTTCCCTACGCTGGACCTGGGAATCGCCCGGTGGAGAGTACCATAACGAGAATGACCACATCATCGTCAACAGAAGGTACTGCCTGACGGACGTCGCTGTTGTTCCGAAGTTCTACACGGGATCAGACCATCGTCTCCTGCGCGCCAAATTCTACTTTCCGCGGAATGGAGAGAGAGCCGTCAAGTTCAGGAAACATCGTCCCATGAATACCACCAACTGGGATCTGTTTTCTTCGATATCCGGCTCATGGCGAGATACCGTGATGGACAACATCGACGAAGAATACGAATTTTTCGAACAACATCTCCACAATTGTGCAAAGGACGCTCAGACTTTAAGAAGTCGAGAAGGCGTCTCACCGCGGAGACTTCAGAGCCGATATGCCAACGTGGACGCGCACGAGCCACAGGCAACTACCGACTGACGTCCGAGCTTGCGAAGCGATGCAGAGAAGCGATAAAAGAAGACCTTAAGGAGAGAAGAGTAGCAGTGATGGTTGACGCCGCGGAGGCTGGAAGAAGTATACGCAACGCCCGCCGAAGCTTCGTCAACTTCAAGACAAAGATGACCGCACTTCGTCGTCCTGACGGAACCATAACTGCTTCCCGAAGATCAATGGAGAAGGTCATCCACGACTTCTACTCGGATCTTTTTGCGAGCCACGTCCACCTTCCACCATGCCATCTCAAGGAGGACGAGTATGTCGCACCGTCTGTTCTTCCTTCCGAGATTCGTCATGCTATCATGTCGATGAAAAACCGTACAGCACCCGGTCCCAACAGGATTAAGCCAGAACATCTGAAGAATCTTTCGCCAGTTCTCATCAAGAGTTTGGCAAGGCTCTTCACGCGGTACCTGACGGAAGGCAAGGTTCCAAGGCAATGGAAGACCAGCAAAACCGTGTTGCTGTACAAGAAGGGAGATCCCTGCGACATCGGCAATTACCGCCCTATCTGCTTGTTGTCTGTAGTCTACAAACTCTTTACGCGAGTCATTCTCGACAGGATCGGAAGAGAGTTGGACGAAGGACAACCATGCGAGCAAGCTGGGTTTCGAAGAGGATTCAGCACGATCGACCACATACACACGGTGTCAAGGCTCATTGAAGTGTCACGAGAGTATAAGATGCCGCTCTGTCTCATCTTCATCGACTTGAAGAAGGCCTTTGACTCGGTTGAGACTGAAGCCGTCATCGATGCCTTGAGCAATCAAGGTATTCCGACTCATTACATCAAGATAATTCGTGAGCTGTATAACAACTTCACAACCACCATAACACCATTCTACAAGGACATCATCATTGACGTGAAGAGAGGCGTGCGACAAGGCGATACTATATTGCCGAAACTATTCAGTGCCGCTCTGGAGAACGTCATGCGTAAGTTGGAATGGGACAACATGGGAGTGAAAGTCGACGGCCGGCAGCTACACCACCTTCGCTTTGCTGATGACATCGTATTGATAACACCAAGCATCACGTAGGCGGAACGAATGCTGGCCCAGTTTGACGAAGTGTGTGGAAAGATCGGTCTACGGCTGAATCTAACGAAGACGATGTTCATGTTCATGAGGAACGGAAGAGTGCCTGATGCTCCTTTCATGCTCAACGGGACGAACATCACCGAATGCTCAAGCTACACCTACCTAGGTCGTGAACTCAATATGATGAACGATCTAGCTCCGGAACTGAGCAGGAGGAAACGTGCAGCATGGGGAGCATATAAGACAATTGAGGACGTAGTGAAGAAGACCAAGAACATCCGGCTCCGCGCCCACCTTTTCAACTCGACGGTTCTTCCTGCTTTGACGTACGCTTCAGAAACATGGACAATGAGAAAGCAGGATGAACACGCGGTTAGCGTCATCGAACGAGCTGTTGAGAGAGTGATGCTAGGAGTGAATCGACTCACGCAAGTGAGGCAAGGATTACGAAGTTCTACCCTACGTCAACGATCGAAGATCAGGGACGCTGCCGCGTACGCCAAGCAGAACAAGATAAGATGGGCCGGGCACGTAATGCGTTTCGACGACAACCGGTGGACGAGAGCTGTAACAGATTGGATACCACTGGACGTCAAACGCGAACGAGGAAGACCGCCGACGCGATGGTCAGATATGTTCACGAAGTCCTTTAATGAAGTCCTTCAAAGCGTTCCACGTGTTCCTGGTGCGATACGTAAACATTGGTCAACAATCGCCCGAGACAGGGACGGAGGCATCACTGGCACCCGCTCGTGCAACACGATGATCAACGGGGATACAGGTGATACAGGTGATCTCCTTCATTTGTAAACATTAACGAACATTTTGGGCACAGATGCAAAGAGCATGAGTTTCCCTTTCAAGCATAACTTAGATCTTGCAGATTCGTTCAGAATTCAACAAGTCATGAGTTTTTGAATTTGGTGCGAAAGATTTGCACCAACCTAAATGAAATAGATGTAAGTCAATGCCATACATTTGAATTTCTCAAATAGTGGAGTACGAAGTGCTGCCAGAATTTCAACCACCGCGTTTCCCATTTTGAGGGTTTCAACTCCACGGATCACCACAAAGCTGATATAAGTGAGTACACTCAAACATCTAACGTAGAATTCGAGGTTTGTGCTAGCGAATCACGTAAAACTTGGGTGAAAAAGCTTTTACGAAGATAAAGTTGATGGGGTCAGGCGCGAAGCTTCAAAAGATTAGGCTGACTGAGTTTTTTTAGCCTTATGAATCACCCCTCAAGTTGACTTCAAGATTCAGAAACCGCTCCATTTCTGGTATGAATCTCGTAAAAAATTCTTGCTACCTTGAAAACTTGGAGCCAGACAAGCACCCGTGGAAACATTATGGCGCTGTGATTGTAGTGTAGTCACAGCGAATGGGACCTGCGACTCTATATATTCAAAAAAATTTGATACAGATGATGTCTTCCAGAATGTCACATATGGAAGTTTCGAAGGTGAAAAATAAGAAGAACGGGGGTCACTCGGGGGGGGGGGAAGAGAGGGGAGGGTTGTCTGTGAAAATTTGTGCCTGACCTCTTGCTCAAATCTGATCATGAGTCTTACGTTCGAAAAAGGTAAAGCAAGAGCAACTGCCGGTCAGGTCTTATTCGTCCGCAATAGACAAAAGAAGAAGTTCTCTCATTCTCGAGTTTCAAGCAGCAAAGATCATGCAGATCACTACAACTTCGTCACTCACTGATGAAATCGAGAGTGCCTTCTACTGAGGCCTAAGGCATACCTCACGCGATTTCAGTCTCTGCGCGATTCAAGACAGAAACGATTATCCGTAACTGGTCGTTACCGCCCTGTTTACATAGGATCTGATCCATTTGCAAGAACTTACAAAAGCTACGCGCCTGTGCATTTCAAACCGCCCACATGAGTTTGTGAAGATCTGGCAGCCAAGTCGCGTAGACGTCGCGATTTGGTCAAATAGCGTGTAGAGCTTACATGCATATCTGCAATCCCTTCAACAATCACTTCCTTATTTTGATAGGATGTCTAATTCAAGTAAATAGTAGACAACTCACCAATATCTAATTTTATTTATACTGCTTGTCGTTTTTGTTTGTGAGGCAGTGTAGACTTTTATTTACTGCGGTGCTGAAATCTCACAAGGTCTGCCGCATGCTATCACAAATCTGTACGTTACAGCGGAGTTGCTCCCACTTTGTCGCTTCTTTTTTTTTCACGTTGTGTAAAACGCAAACTAAAATTACTTCAGCTTTGATTTAGAATGAACCAAAGCATACTTGTACGCCAGCGCTTAGCAGTCGCAGCATTGTTCATTCTTATTTTCACAGCACTCTCCATAAGGTAAGTCTTTGAAGTATAATTATCCGTTTACTTTTCAATACTCTCAACTCGCCATACTTGATACTTCACTTCGTGATCTTCCAATAGCAAAATAATTCAACCGTCTTTAGTTTGCACGCGAGAACGCCAATTTGCTTTTTGCAAATTAATTTTTGTTTCAGTGGATAGCATAGAGCTGTGAAAACATTATTGATCACTCAAATAATGCTGTAAAGTATACTTTGGAAAATTCGAAATTTTTTTCGAATTTTTCTATATATAAATCTTTCCTATATAGAAACTGGAAACATCAGGCGCGACGAAATAATCTCCCTTCGTCTCCCACCCTGACGCCCTATTTGAGCGTTGCGGAGGGGAACTTGTTGACAGTGTGAGCCAAGACATTACACTCTCTCGCAGAGATTTCGGATTGTGAGAAACCGGGAACAACGGTGTACTCCTATGACCCAGACAGGCTCGAGAGGAGAGACTGATCTCGAAATGTGAATTGATGCACCCTACATTGCATGCAATAATGACACGTGTTCTTAAATCATCTCAAAGGTGCTCCTCTGCTCTCGTCTTTGTGAATCATTAACGCCTCGTTCGCATCTTCGTTCCAATATCCGGCCGCCATCAACATATTTCATGGCATTTGAACTACGTGCATGCATAAGTGATTGCGTGATAGTCGAAATACTTTTACTACTTGTTTCGTGAATCTGCTTATTCAGCCATTTTGAATTTAGAACTCAGCAAGATGTAGTAAACTTCCTCTGTGGCTGATCAGCTTTGGGAGCAAAACATTTTGTTTTCGCCACAAATTTCATGATAGTTGGCGAAAACCTCGATTTCGAAATAATTTACCTCACAGAAAATGCATTTGCTAGCGAAGTGAGGAACCCAGCATAGAAACTATGGTTTCAGTGGTCAGGCTTAAGCAGGCTAGGCTATCTCTGTGGCTGCTCAGTTTTTGGAGCAAAAAGGTTTTGTTCTCGCCCACTAAAACAGTGATAATCTCAGCTTCGAGAGGATTTACGCCACAGAAAATGCAGATGAAAATTGATTCCCGCTCCCGGATTGAAGACCCAACATGCAAGAATCATGTGTCTATTCAACTTCATGAGCTTTGGAAAGTTATTTTGGTCATTATGAGAGATTAAAAGGTATTCAAAAGTTACTCGAATCAGTCGTGATAACACTTGCTGAAAGGCTGGGAAGGAGAACACAATTTTAAAGAGCCTCCGTATTCTGAAACTATGATGTTGAGCTATAGTGTTACCGCAATTTTCATAGTTTCGATAGATTAGTTCTCATCCGAAACGTACTTGCCCTGTTGGGTTAAATAACCACTACAATTTTGGAATGTCTTTATATACGTTGAAGAAAGAGAAGAGGCATTCGAAGAAAGAATGGTTAACCGCCGAGGTTCATCGGAATGAAAAGCTGAAAAATGCCCTTATACGCTCAATATGCATTGTTAAGGCAGGGTCCGGCACGAAGATGACAATCGTCTAACAAGGGCAGTTCGCAGAATCGAAGTGGCCGATTGATATGTAGTATATACCCGGCCTCAGTGTTGGGGAGGTTAGTATCACTTAGATAACCGCCGGGGGCAGGCGGCCATGCGAATTTTGAGCAAGCGCGCACCAGAAAAATAGTTTGTTGATTTCTTGCGGTCCGCTTGCAGATATTTGGAAGAATTTTAGCAAAATTTTAGACGAATCTTGGAGAACAATCGCGGTTTCCTTATAGATTAGCTGCGGCGCAGTGGCCGCATTCTCGCGGATTTTCCGCGAGAATATGCAAAATTTTCGAGGGCCGCACGGTCCTTTGTGGAGGACCGCGCAACCCTCAGGTACTTCCCGCTGAGAGAAAGTACCTCAAACTTGAGTGATTAAACTAACGATGACACTTCTGCCACACAGAGTCTTACCTGCGCTCGACGTACGCCCGAAAATGCCTAAAAAGAGTCCGAGCACTTGCTAAAAGTTTGGCCAGCGCTCGCTGAAAGAAATTATTTGCCGAGCGCTTGCAAGAAATGCTGTATTGGCAGAATATGCGACCGTAAGGGAAGTGCCGCCCGCTGAAGGTTTGGCCACGCCCCAAAATTCTGCTGACCGCCTGCAGAAAAGCGCGAGTTTGTGGACCGCCTGCCCCCGGCGATTATCTGAGCAAATGTGCACGCACTAGCTGCGATCCGTTATTGTGAGGCAAGTTATAGCCCTTGAAGTTTTTGGAGTATGCATGTGTAGAGAACGCATAAACGCTACGATCGTGGTCATGTGGTGTGGTGGTTAGTGTCTTGGACTTACAGGTGACCGGTGAGGGTTCGGATCCTGTTGCTGTCTACGTCTTTGTCGTCGTCTTTTTAAATTTCATTTTATATCTATCTTATGTATAATTGAGGTAAAAAATGACACATACAGCTTATGGGGAAGTTTTTTTTTCGGAAACATTCGACCAATGTTTCATATGCAATACTTTCGGGCAAATTTCTTGTTTTGACCAATTAAACTTTATCAGAAGTCTATATAATATCAGATATTATACAGTGCTGGCCAAAACTATAATTCCACCCTGAAAACTGCCGTGACTCATCTGCTTCTCAACGAATTAATCTATTTGGTGCAGTTGTGTGTTTTACAGGCTACCATCAGTAACAAGAAAGGACCCCGCTTTTGTTTGATTATTCAGGAAAAAAAATCAAGCATATCGAAAAAAGCAGGCTTGAAGGTTGGCCAAAACTATAATTCCACCTAAGGTTACTGCCCACTAATGTAATTCTCTTCTTCCAAAGTCTTTTGTGCATATACATAATAAAAAGTCAAGACAGTCGCTTTAGTCCAGCTGTGTCTATTAGAAACGCTTATCTGCTTTTTTCGCTCAAAAATACTTTCATGCGTATTTTGTTCCCGAAAACGTGTTTTTATGGGCAATTCCGCAGTTTTTTTGACTGGTCTGACAAGGGATGAATACTTGGTCGAAATGACGTTTCCATGCAAAATGTACACCGTTTTATAGAGCATGGAACGCTGAGTTCAAACCTACCTTCGGTATCTGCAAAGCGCTTGTGGGAGGGAAGTTATGGAAATTTTTTGATGCAAAAATTTGAAAGCGCAGCTACTATAAAATCATTCGGAACCTTAGTCCGTGAATTCAAATGGGACCATGATTGCTACCAGGACGTTTTGTATAATAAGACCTTCAACCTAATAAACTCATGTCAGTTATTACTCCTTTCAAGCGCCGAAAAGACCTCAACATCTATTTTTACCTTAGCCAAATTATTGAATTTCTACCTCAAAATTTCGCATAACTCCCCTCCCAGATGCGCTTAGATAGCGAAAGCAGATCTGGAATCAGCGTTCAATGCTCTATAAGAAAATATAAATCCCATATGGAAACGCCACTTCGACCAAGTATCGTTTCCTTGTGAGAGCGATAGGGCTCCATCTATCCTATGGATGCTTAGCGAAGTGAGAACTAGAAAAAAATTGTTTCATATTTATAGCGCACCCGACATAGATCTAAATGCAAGCCTGCGCTCAATTTTTGCCTTCAGAATTGTTTTATGTTATTTTTGTAAGCTTAAAATGGTGTAACGCATTATTTACATAAAAAGGAAGTTTGTACACTATACTTAGATTGTTCGCCAAGTCACATTTTGCTTCGTTTTCAAAGCATAAATCTTCGCGGTTTGATGATAATATTTAGGCAATCTCAAGAGACTTATCAAGTGGTACCTTTCCTGATTTTTTGCCGCTATTTAGCTGCTAGATAGTGAAAACACCCTGTATTGTATGCTGCCTTGTGATTCACATGAGCATTACGGTCAGAACCAAATTGAGTTCAAGGATTTTTGCAAACATGTCTTTGCAGAATGAATTTCTCAATTAGCCTGCATGCTAGGACCTGCGGAGATCTGTAAACCACTGCATCCGGACTCTCATACGTACAACAATGTTATTACTCTACTTCACGCCTCCATCTTCGATGTTTGGTGCTTTCGTAGTAGCACTAAACTTGGTGCAAGACTATTGTCTCTGCGATGTAGACGAGCCAGTTGTTCACGAATCAGAAACTCACTATTTTTGCATGTTTTGCATGCATGCAAGATTACGTTTAAGCATGAAAGAACCTGGCAACTTATCTTAAATGAAAATGCTTAAAGGCAGCGTCCAGGCAAGATCCATCCACCCAGATTAGCACATAGTTGTAAAGAGGGGCCCACGATTTTCCGATCTGCGTTGCTCCAATCCTTTGACGTGCTCTCTAAAAGGAGATACGGGTCTGTGATACGTATCACAAGCCGCCCCTTCGTATCACAAACCACCTTTGAAGACGAGTGGTTACGCAGGTGTGCGGTTGCATTGCATATGCATTGCAGTTGCACTGCACACTGCAATGCAACTGCATCCGTACATTTGCAGCTCCTCCCGCTGGCATGACGATGGGACAAGCAATTCGAAACTCGTCCGCTCCTTGAAGAGAGGATCCCCAAGAACCGAGTTTTTTGGGAGTTTTGAACAATTTGGACTTTACAATTGTAATCAGGGCAACGGAAAGGCCCCAGATTGGCAGGAGCATGAGAGGCGGAATTTTGCCAGGACGCTGCCTTTAAGGGCGGTGTCTCACCAAAATTTTGTTTTTGAAAATTTTGCATTTTATTAGCCTTTCGGACTCTCTATAAGAGCTTGAAACCGCATAAAGGTTCGTAAAAACCCTGCTTTTGGAGGTCTCGCGGAATCAACGTGAACGAGTCGTCTTTCCAAATTCAGTCTTCCCACAGTGACAGCAACACAAAGGAGGTGAACGCCAAGTGGAGGTACATGTTGAAGCGCGTAAGTGGGGAGACCGAAGAAGTCGCCCGCGCGTACCGAATCGCTCTCCGCGTACGTCTTTGTGGCAATTTTTTCAGCGAGGAGGGGTCAACTTTATTGCCACTTGTTGCAATGGTCTACTTAGAAAGCCGTACAGTAAGAAATCCGGCGACTTTGATTTTGGTAAGACACTGCCTATAAGAACGCACTTTTAGAAAGTTTGCGCAGTCAGAATGGGTAGGTCACGATAAGCGAGGCCACAGCCACATGCTGTAGTTTGGTGAAAAAGTTTTTGAAATTTGATTTTGTGTCAACCGATTAGTTTATGTTGTATATTATGCGAAATTCCTTAACAGGGAAGTACTATGTATCAATGGCCGTGGCCTTTTGATATGAGATGCATATCATCTGAAGCAGCTGCGAACGCTGATTTCAAATCTGCTTTCCGTTTCTGCGGAACGTGAACGCTCTTCTGAAGAGAGTTATGGAAGCTTGAACATTCTATTTTGGGGGTGCCCCTTGAGTTTGTGGGTGCTGCTGTGTGCATTGGTGGTGCAGTAATGTAGTGGTTAGTTGCTGTTGTAGGCGAGAGGTTGATGGTTCAAATCCTGTGGAGAGCGAACTATTTTGCTTATTAAATGTGAGTTTGAAAGCACTCTAAATCGCCTGCAGACACCTAATGTAATGCCTTTGGCATAAGTGACCTAGAAAAAGAATTTTCTGGCAAAATTGCTTGTAACGAGAGCCTGAAATTCCGTTTGACTTCCTTACTAGTAAAACAGGATCGAACATGGCGTAGCACGTTTGTCACCATATAAAGCTCAAAAAATGTACACTGTCATTAGTCGAAAAGATGTTCTCTCCCGTTTGTGCTAAGACATCACAGTAAGTGTCTGCAGACAATTTAGAGCGCTTTTAAACTCATCAAAATGCAAAATGGCTCGCTCTCTACCGGATTTGAACCATGAACCTCTCGCATTCAATGTCAGCAAGTAACCATTACACTACTGCACCACCAACGCCATAGCAGCGCCCTCAAACTCAAGGAGCGCTCCCAAAATAGGATGTCAGGCTTCCATAAGTCTCTTCAGAAGAGCGTTCCGCAGAAACAGAAGGCAGATTTGAAATCAGCGTTCGAAGCTGCTTCAGAAGGTATGCATCTCATATCAAACAGCCATGCCCATTGAAAGTACTTCCCTCGTTAAAGCGTTTTCTTGAAATTTTTTGACAGTACGAAGCAAAATTAAGTATGAAAGTTTGGTTGTGAGTTTCATGTATTGTTGATCGCAGCATGTTGAATACTGTAATGCCAATGCGCGTGTTGTAATAATGTTCGATGTTTGCCACACTTAGGGCCGCATGCACTAACATTTCCGCTGGGGAGGGGATCGCAGCTTCAGAAGAAAGCTTCATATCCTGAAGCTCCGGATATCTGGATTCCACGCTGTCTACCTGTCCGTAAGTACTCCCACCATCCTTCACTATGAACATATTGAGCAGAAGCGAGAAGCTGTACAAGCCGCATTTCCCAGCTTTTTGTAGGATTCCCTGATGATCCCTGGGGGACGAACATCTATTCTTCAAAGTCATTTTTCTTTTTCCAAAGTTAACGAAAACCCTCCAAAGTTACACTGAACATCTAACACAACAGTGCTAAGCATGTTGCTGATAAGAATAAATGAATTTTTGAAAAATCGAATTTTTCGGTATACCCCAAATTTCGACCTGTGGATCATCGAAAATTTCATGACTTCAAAACATCATTTGTTCTTATCAGCAACATGCTTAGCACTGTTGGCTTAGATAATCTGTACAACTTTGGAAGTCTTAACTTCGGAGAAAAAAATAGCTTCAAAGAAAAGCGCCGGGGATCATCAGGGATCATACAAAAGCTGGAAAATGCGGTTTGTACAGCTTCTCGCTCCTGTTCAACATGTTCATAGTGAAGAATAGTAGGAATACTTACGGATAGGTACACAACGTGAAATCCAAGTATCTGGAGTTTCGAAATATGAAGCTTTCTTTCAAGCTGCGATTCCCTCCCCGCGGCCATGTTAGTGCATGCGGCCCCTAGATATCAAGTCTTCCCCCCCCCCTCCTCCCTCCATCTACAGGAGATTGCGTACATTGACTTTTCGAGCACCTCGCTGGAAGTTCTGCGTCGCTATGCAGATTAAGTCAGATCCAGGGTAAACTTGGGATGCGGCACGCCAAACTTGGGGGTCGTTTTGAGGAGTCAAGAAGTGTGGGTGTTGTCATTGAGGTGACACTGACGTTACCGATAACACGATACTCGTTGATGTCATATAGCCCCTTATGCGAAATACTAACGCATTGATTGTTTCCTACCATCGTGTATATACGGTAAGCATAATAAAAGGTTCTTAGAAGTACAAGATCATCATTTTTGTATTAACCGTCCCAAATAACTTTTGTGGGCCAAGCTTCGGATAATACTGAGCTTTCCATATGGTCGTCCACTCAACTGAGATGGTCATTTTCGAACATGTTAACTTTGTTTCAAGGTGAGCTAACTACCTTTCTTGTATTTTATACAAAGTACTACTACCTCTTTGCTCGCATTGAGAATCACGCTGCAAATATCCTCCAAATTATGGAAGTGGGAGCAAACCAAAATTTAGTTTGTCTCATTTTCCGCTTTCACTACTCAAACTAGAGACCAATCAGGATCAAATCGCTTTTGTAAAAGTTACGAAAGGCTATCGAATATATTTGTTCTTGCTGCCTTCCCTCGCGATTCACGATAATAGCGCAGATTTAGCATATTTCCGTAATCCGATATCCTTGCACTGTTTTCCATTTGCATTGCTAAGGAGAAACGGGCTGTATCTTTCTCTAAGAGGAATGATTATGAACGAAATTCCCGTTATCTGGAAAAGATGGTTCAGTAATGGCAACGATATGAAAATATAGATATTTGAGTGCTTTGAAGGTAATTTAATGGGGCACAACCTTTGAAAAGCTGTGGCAGGCACAGCTTTACTAGGGTTGTGACACGCACCATTACCTCACCTCCAAACATAAATTTCAGCGAACAGATCGTGTACATTACTATAGCCAAGATCTCTTTATTTATAAAAACGGTCAGAACGGAACTCTTCTCCTTAAAATGAATGATAGTTGCTGGAAGCACAACCATCTAAGAAAATAATTGGACAAATGAGATTTGGCTGGCTCCTAATCCCATAGTTTGATGCTTATTCAAAACAGTATCTATGCTGTGGGCAAATAAGGAGTAGTGCTTCGTATCGGATGCAAAAAGAGGTCGCTAATTCACCTTTGAAATATAGTTAGCAATGTTTGAGAACAATTATTTTACTTGTGTGGCCCAATTTGCAACCTTCTGAATTCGCTAAAGATTGACCCGCAGGAATATTCGACATGATATATACGAACATGTTACTAATTATGCTTGGTAGATTTTTTATTTCATGCCTACGGCAAGTAAAAGATAATGCCTGAAGGGGGAGGGGGATGAGAGAGAGAGAGCTATTGAGAGAGCTTTTCTTGTAAGCTCTATTGAGATGGAGCTTACAAGAAAAGCTATAAGCCGTTGAAGGCCATTGGTTTGCTAAGAAATTGTGCGTGTAAAGTGCATACTTGGCCGTACAAAGCCATTCTCGGTTAAATGTTGGACCAAAACATGCATTTAGGTCACTTCATATGACCTGTACCTAAAGGTGAGCTGAAAGAGCAATAATATGCCTAATTTCGCAATTTCTGTATAATATTTTTCCGCAGAAAAGCTGCTAATAACTTCGCCTACAAAGGCGCTCTGCAGATATGGAAGACAGGTTTGAAATTAGCATTTTGTGCTGCATTGAATGATATTCAGATTGTATGGACTGGCTTCGACTTCTGATCATTCTCTTGTTAGGAGGAGGGTCGTATCCTGCAGTTGTATGCCACACATCGACCATAGTTAGATCGTCCCTTGCAAAATATGTCTCATCTATTCGTATGTGAGTGTGCTCTTGACTGCTGCTTGTTGCGCGAACTAACAAGGGAATGGGACAGGGTTTGAACTATGCAAGTGACAGGTCAGGAATGATCATGTTAATCAATGATTAGCGTCAGCAAAGCCCTGCAAAATAATCAACAAACTTATCATGGTAGTTACCTAATTGTCTGCAGAAAAAAGCAGACAGTACGCTGAGTGCTCAACAATCTTGCGCCTTATGTACCGTAAAACAAGGCAGAAAGAGATTTAGATAATGAGAAATTTCTGGGGCTCATTAGTATCTGTACTTATCAGTCAAGGAACTTTTGGATCAAAAAGCAGGAACATAACGTACAGCGATCTAGTCTCTTTACTGAAAGAAAAGATTGATAAATTCAACTTGGACACATCGTCATCCAAATCATCTCGTTTCAGGAACAAGGAGCAGTTTTCGTTCATTGCAACAAATGAAACCGCGAGGATAATTGGAGAAAACGAATCAAAGTCAAGGAGGTAATACGAAGATAAGTTCAGTATTCACCGAATAGTTGATGTCTGTAAAAAAGAAAAACTGCATCAGCTTGATGACCATCTGCAATAGTGCTAGTCAGGTAGAAGACAAATCGCTAAAAGGCTCCACTCGCGCGGACTCGGACCCGCAACTTTTTGGTGGCTACTGTATAGACCATATCAACCGCAATCAAACGCAGGAACTCATCGGATGAGCTCGCGCGCTCGCGTCGAGTAGAGGAAGTAGAGGAAATATCATCAGGGCGCAAAAGCAAAGCTGTAATCATATCAGTGGCCTTTAACTTTTCCTACAGTAGTCAGTTAAATTTCCTTAATCAGTGCATTTCCTGTCTACCAACGTGCTGCCTGAACTATGTTGTTCGCCTTCAAACATAGCTACTTTCGCATCTCATCAGATAATGGCGCGCAACTTGAGGCAATGTGACGTTCTACTGATGAGGTGCGAATGTAACTGTGTTATAGGACTACAATTTTCTTCAAAGTAACTACAGTTACAGAGTAATTAGGACTGATGAGACGCAATAAGCACTAGGATCTCCGTGCCCTTTTGTCCTCACATTGCATCATTGCGTTTCTAAGCGATAAGGAACTGTGTGACTGGCCTCTATTCCAAACAACCCGTACATGTGGGTTGACCAATTTTGTCGCCGCGTTTTTTGGAATCGGGTTTGTAATAAAGAAGAGAATATGCGCGCCGCAGTTCAGAGGAGCAGAGCAAGGGCAGCTACAATCGTGGTGGCACGACACATGTCGATAAATTTCAAGCAAGAAGTACAAATTGTCAAAAGTTCTCAAAATACAAAATAGATTAACAAGGAGCTATTGAGCTGGGCCTTACTGTACAGAAGCCCCTTATTATGAGATGTTGGCATTCGGAATTTCCTTCAGGTTTCCAACCAAAGAAGAGTCGTTTATATCTCTAATTTGATAATCGTGGGGCTTATGGGGAGTTTGGATATGCCAGGTTTCTCCTGAAAGCTAGATTCTAGAGTTGCCGATAAACACAAGGTTAACAAAGATTTTTTTACGTATTATCTAATACCCCCACAATGGTCGGTAGCCTCATCGTGGCGTAGGGGTGACACTGGGTGTGGAACTGCGATGCACAGCCGAGTGTATACTCTGGTAGGGCCTCCCAAGCTGTGAAGGAGTTCGACGTTTCCGGTTTCGGCCGGATGCCTAGCTAAGAACCGGCCACGCCAGATCCCCCGCCTTCTGACTTCTTCTGGTCGTTAAGCGGTCCCTCCCCGCTCCACATCTCCGAGGTCAGCGATCGCCTCGTGGTAAAGAGTTGGCCTAGTAAGGCCCGTAGTAAACCCCCTCTCAGCCCAAGCTGGGGGCGGGCCTACGTTGAACGTAGAGCGCCTCAGTCCGGCATCCGGTGAGCCATCGATCCGGACTCGGATCGCTTTTCAGACCCAAAGATCTTGTGCGTTCTCAAAAAAACAACCCCTTGAGTGGTGTGGTCGAGAGGCTAAGTGCATGGGTTTCAATGAGAAAGTCCATGGTTCAAGCCCGCTAGTGGCACATTTTCGCGCCACCGCAGGACAATCTTTGATAGCGGCCGCTATCGAGAAAAATCGATGGCGACCGCTGTCAAAGATATCGCCGAGCAAACAATGGATAGTACAAAACTACCATATTTTGGCGAGGAATTCATGGAAAACGAAAATTTTTGAACATAGAGCAAATTAAAAAAATCAAAAAATCTTTGTTTCAAACAGATTTGAGGGAAAAACGTAGTCAAGCTCTGAAAAAAAGAAGAAATCCAAGAAATCCTGTTTTCTCGTTTTTTTTCGCCGCAACCAGCTGTTCATCGATCATCCTCTCCCATTTAGGCCGCCGAAAACGTGCAATTTATACGTGGGCTAGATTGTCCCGTAAGTTACTCACGAGCAACTTACGGGAATTTGTCTGACCCTCCTCTTAAGCACACTATTTCTCTCGGGTCACCCTAAAATTCAACCTCGGATAAGTGGCATTCTGGTGAGCTGACTGTGACACTTGAACAGACATTCTTCTGACTGTTGAACTGACTATCCTAAAGCACGGGAAGGTGGGCGGGATTAGGGTCACCCGAGGAAGTTCTTCTGAATGATTCATCTCAAGTCACCTGGGATGGATGGGGGTTTACTACGGGCCTAAGTCTGCTCTTCTAGGGGAAACATTTTATTACTTGATCAGCAAAAGAAAGAGAAGTAAACCCTGCACATCGGGTCCCGCCTACGGCGCCGGGTGGTAGCAAGAACGATGTCAGGATACTCAGGACGCCTTTTGGATTGGACAAAAACGACACGTCCGCCCGGACGACAAGCCATGGAGACTGCCTTATGCTCTGCACCTACAACGCCAAGACAGTCTCCACAAACGCCGACCTCCACGCTCTTCTCGACGCCGCAGAGCACATCAAGTACCACATTATCGGTCTGCAGGAAACGAAGTCCAGGAAGAAGGACGTGCGACACATGAGTGATGGGACCCTCATCATTCGTGGTGAAAAGGTTCCATTACGAAACGTTGGAGGCGTTGGCTTTTTGTCCACCCATCTTGTCCATGTTGTCGATTCGCACGAGATCCTATCACCTCGACTGGCCAACCTAGACTACGCTCTCCACGTCAGAAGACCATCAGCAACATCAACTGCTACTCTCCAACATCAGCAGCTGACGACTTAGAACTAGATGCTTTCTACGAAGACGAGGAAAAGGTCGTCCGCAACGAAAAGTCCTTCTACAAGTACGTTGTGGGCAACTTTAATGCGAAAATCGGGATGCCATTAGAAAAGGAATATAGGATCGGGAAGTTTGGACGTGGGCTCCGGAACGAAAACGGCAACCGTCTTGTTGGGCTTCTCACCGCCGCATAACTACTTTTCCATGGTAATTTCATCTTCAGAAGAAAGAACATCGCCGGTGGACATGGGAATCACCCAACGGAACGACTGACGAAGAGATCGACCACATTCTCCAACCGAAGGTGGAGCTTGCTCGATGTCTCAATAGTTCCATTCTTCTGCAGTAACTCCGATCACCGCCTCCTTCGAGCGAAGATACGACTCAACCGAAGGCTGGAAAAGAAAGTCTGTCACATTGCCGAGGGAAGGAAGGAAGTCGTTTACGACAGTAACAGGCTAGAAGAGCTCATATCAAGTTCTGACTGGCCCATCGAAAGGACCCAACGTACGACTGCGACCGGCTTCTGAAAGGATTGCGAGCCTGCGGAGAGTGCGCCTCAGTGACTTCTGAGAAGAACTTGGAACCATTTTCAAGATCACCAAGGAATTACTCGAAAGAAGAGGATTTCTGAGGCGGAATCTGAATGCCCATCTCGAGCGACTGATAGCCAACGCCAGTTGCAGAACAGGTTTGCAGGAGGATTTCAGGAAGTACAGGGAAGCCAAGATACTGGAGGCAGCTGAAGGAAGACGAAGTCTTAAGAAGTGCCGAAGGGACTTCCGTGAATAACACGTACCGCTGGTTGCACTATTGAACGAAGATGGGACTCCGACTTGTTCCCGATGCAAGATGAAATCTATCGCGAAGAACTTTTACACCAACCTCTTCCGCTCATCAACACCCGTGCCGATGCCCGTTGTGTTCCCACTGGAGAAGTACCACCAGAATTCTACCTGCTGAAGTGCGCACGGTGATTCAGACCATGACATCCACGGCTCCAGGACCACACCATCTTCCCGTCGAATTTCTGCGAGCCGGAGGACAACGGATCCACGAGATTCTCGCGTCGCACCTGACAGTTTACCTTCAGAAGGAGAGGATTCTCGACCAGTGGAGAACGTCAAGAACCGTCCTTCTTTTCAAGAAGGATGAACGGGAGGATCTTCGGAACTACCGTCCAATATGCCTGCTGAGTGTACTGTACGCTTTTCACGAAGATCATCCCTATTGCATATTTAGAACACTGGATGAAGCCCAACCCCAAGAACAAGCTGGATTCCTCTAGAGATTTGCATGGACTACATCCAGACGGTTTCGAGAGTCATAGAAGTCTGCCGGGAGTACCGACTGCCTCTCGTCCTAACCTTCGTCGACTACGAGAAAGCCTTTGACAGCGTCGAAACCAACGCCATCCTGTCAGCGCTAGTCGATCAAGGAGTGGAGCCAGCCTACGTGAGGACACTAGCCAACTTCTACAAGGACTCTACAACAACGATGCAGCTGTTCCATCGCCCCCTGACCATTCCTATTGGGAAGGGGGTCCGACAAGGTGATACTATTTCGCCGAAGCTGCTCACCGCGGCCTTGCAGTGGGTGATGAAGTCACTGGACTGGAACGAGAGAGGCATACGAGTTGATGGGAGATTCCTGTCTAACCTTCGTTTTGCGGACGACATCGTTCTCTTCTCGAGCAGTATCACCGAAGCAGAGACGATGCTGAAGGAACTAAACGAAGTAGGGAAGAAGATAGGATTGCGAATAAATCGGAAGAAGACTCAGTTTATGAAGAACGCCCTTTGCGAAGTTGCAGAATGGAACTGGAAGGCACCCCTATCACGGAGACGTCTTCTTACGTGTATCTCGGACATTCGATGAACATGGAGAACGACTTGAGGGAAGAACTTAAATTCGAAAGTGCCTAATTGACAGTTGAACCTGGGAAGCCAATGAGGGCGAGTTTGCGCCCTTATATCTCTGCAAATTGTACAGTTGAGGTAATCTCATGTGGTCAGTGACATGTACTTTTGGTAGCTCTATTTTTCCAGAGGTAGCTCGTGCTCATAGCTCCAACGTAGGAGGCGCTATATAAGCGACTAGCTGGCTTACCCGGCTCCGCCGTATGTTCCGAATCATAGGTGCGATAGGGGGAGCCGGGCCCTCTCCAGGTGAAGGGGGTCTCTGCTACTCCCATCCTTGTAAGGTGAAGGGGGTAAGTGAGCCCTGAGAGCAAAATGCCCCAACAAGTTACATACCATTCGAAAACTGAGGTCATATAGAATCGACGTAGACCGTCGGCTTTTTCCTAGG